AAGATCTCCTCGCTCATTGCTGCTGCACAGAAAGGTAGGAAGAAGCAAAACTTCAAGCGCATGGACTATTGGGAAGTAGATGACAAGACGCATCAATTGATTCGTCATCACGTGAAACCCAGAAGTGCCATGTTTGACCTTGGCAGATTGAGCAAAGAGATGCCCGTAGAAGAAGAGAGACTGACAGGTAGGAGAGAGACCCGTAAGTCCTACAAAGATGGCAGTCGTAAGACGGTGATTGATGCGGATTTCCGTTCATTGGAGGACTCCAAGGCTAAGGATGATCGAGAGTGGACTGGGAGCACTCGCTTCGCATTGAGGCAAAGGCTGCGTAAACGCCCGGAGGCTTCGCAGCCCTCGAAGGCATTGACGCCTCAGCCCAAAACATCACTTAGACCTGAGCCCTCGCAGGCATTGAAGCCCAGCTCTGCAGCGTTAAAGCCCAGTAGTTCTCCCGTTGAGCGTCGTGTGTTGAGCCGAGGGACCGAGGTATTGGAGACCTTGGATTCTGAAAACACGCTTTTGAGCAGATTGCGTTCTGTTCAGGTGTTTGACAACAAAATGAAAGAAGATCTATTGCGGCTCTACCACACTCCTGACCCACTGACGGGAACGGAGCGAACTACTGACTACTGGCTTCAACTACCTACGTTTTGGATTCGCATGATTCACCAGAAACGAACTGATTTGGTTCATCCTGATGATGAGCCTTCCCCGATTGATGCCAAGCGAGATAACGAATTTGGCGACTCACTGATGGCAGATCGCTACACATATATTGTGGAATCTCAGTTCCCTGAGTCGAATGGCACAGAAATTGAGGACTATTGGTGTTCTGTTCGTGATGATGATGGTACTGTTAAAGAACCTGAACAAGATCCTCGTAGGGATTTGTTTCAAGCATGGAGAGGATTCTCTGTCTTTGTTCCCAGGTCAACCCTAAACCCTGAACTGTTGCTTCAGAGGTTGCGCCCGGCATGTGCAGGGCAGTGCACTGTGCGGGTGCCATTGCATGAACTGCGTCGACCTGCCTATTTTATTTTGTTTTGAGAACAGCACAAGTTTGCAATTAAATTTAAGGGTTTGGTTCAATGCAATTCACGCGCTTCGCTCGCAATTGCGTGCTTCACGGAATAAAAGGAATGCAATGAAAAAGAAGTGAATAGGTGATCACGCTTCGTTGCAATGAAGAGTTATTTGGTATTTTGGAAATCTAAACATTTAGAAGTTGCATCAGATTCATTTTTGTTTTCTGATTCATAGTTCTTGGTGATTCTTCTTTGCTCTTATCATAATTCTTTTTATCTTTACAGGATTTCATATCAAACACTATTGTTGGACTGGAATTCACTTCTCATAGAATTATTTTCTTAGACCTTGTCAGCTTTTACTTGGATTAATTTATTGTTTTCATACTTGGTTTAGAGATTTGTTCAGTTTTTTCTTCTTTTTGGGGGTTTTCTAGTTTCTGATTCTGAAGCCTGAAGCTCTATTATTTGTATCCTTCTTTTGGACATCTTTTCATTTATTATCTTGTCCAACTTTAGGGATGTGGCCTGGAGAAGCTTTCTATCTTCCAGATCCTTGTGAATTAACTTTTGCTAACACACTTCTTTTGTCTAGTGCTGCTATATCTTTAAGAAATGCTTTTATTAATTTAGAAATTTCATCACAATATACTATTTTCTTCACTTTGTGGTCATTCTATTTATCTTCTCTTTTTATGAGTTTGCAGATTAAAGAATTTCGTATTCTCGCATATTCAATTAATGATTCACTTTCTAGTTGTCTTTTCTTCTTTCTTACAGCATTACATTTCTTTCACTTAATTCTTGGTATTTACTTCCTCTTATCTTCTTTTCTTGTACCGGTTTCGTTCTCACGCTCACACACACATATTATTCACGCGTCGCTCACACGTGCGCGCTTGTAATAATATGTGGGCTTTAGTGCATTTCATGCGTCCTTTTACTCCTTATAAATGCATTAAAGAAGCTCTCTTCACGTCCTTATAATTTAGTACATTCATATCCTCATTATGCCGGGCCCCTATTTTAGTTATTATTTTGCCCGGCCGTTACGTTCACACTATTAATACGCCCTTCATGCGTGAACTTATAAGGGCTTATTGATAGTATCAAGGGGGTTCATTTCATATTGAATTTCGTGCGTCAGCTTCGTTCCTTACAAATTCAATATTAAATGCACTACGTTTTTACAAATTACAATATTATTATGCCGGCGTATGAAAAGAACCAATGTTTTGCCCACAGTTTTTCTTCCAGCCTCCAAACCCCAAAGACTGGACCCGAACCCAGAGCGTGGGGTGGGGTTTTGGGCTAAGGTTTCGAGTTTCGGGCTTATAGGTTTTTGGGGCTTAAGGCTTAGGGTTATTACATATATATAACTAAGACTTTTTCAGAAAGTTTTAGACAGTTTTTGAAGAGAGTCAGAAACTTTCTGTTAAGGTCTTAGTTATATATGTCTATATAGATATTAGTTAGGCATTTGAAAACCTACGGTTTTTTAGTGTTTTAAAAACCTAGTTTCTGGCACAGGAACAAACAATACATCCAAATAAACGTATATACGTCTTTCTCAAAAAATGTTTATAAAGTCATAAAGTTTCGTTAAAAATGCCGCACATTTCTATTACAGTGAACATGTAATGTTGTCCGACACGGTGTCTGCTCTTTCATCTATTCACAATGTTCTAAGACGCTTATAAAGTTTCGTTAACATGCAGCAGTTTCTGTTGCAGTGAACACGTATGTTGTCCGATAGAGTGTCTGCTCTTTCATCCGAAAGGTATAGTTTTTTTGGGGAAAATATGGATCTCTACTCGAAATCTATACTCTTTCGTTTGTTGTTATTCTTTTTTATAGAGAGAAGACATGATTCTGCAGGAAAATCTAAAGAGGTTTGCTGCAGTAATATCGATTTCTCATGCACGTTGTCCAGCTTCCATCTCAGATCTTTCTTTTTTGGAAAACCTGAACCCTATATAAAGCCCCTAAACCCTATACCTTGTTGGCTCAAACGAACGATGTTTTGTTGGCCGTTTTGGCCGACTCTCAGTGGAGCAACAACCAAAAGATATGAAAACAGTCTGTGCTGCAAAAAAAGGCAAGTGCGGCACCCAGGACAAGCGTGTGCAAAAAAGAAAGACAGAGAAGCCCTCAAACACAAGAAGATTTTGCCTCAAACATCGCCTGATATTGTGTGCCGTTCTTGTGGCTGACGTCTGTGACTGTTGTTCTGTTCGGTCCAAAATCCACAGGAAACAGCATAAAATGTGCGAACTTTGTTCATTCATCGCTCTAAAAAACACCCGATTTTTGAAGTATAAAAGTGGAATTTACACTACAAGAAAGTGTAATTTACACTACAAAATGTACACGCAAAAGTGTAATTTTTTGACAATATTTACACCTCATGTGTGTGTGTAAAAATTGTTTCTTCTGTAATTTTACGCGCAAAAGATCTTACAAGCTTGTTCTGATGCCGTACGTACCAGTTGTTTGCTGGGTGTTAACACGGCAGTCTAGTGACGTCCGAGTCCCGCTGCAGTTCTTTTATAGCATACAACAGTACTTAGCCCTTTGTCCCAGCCCCTGTTCCTGCTTCAGGCGCATCGTCCTCGCTTGGATGACCCTGCGCTCCTGGATAATCTGCTTCCGCAGTACTCCGCGCCAGCCACATTGTCTGCTGTTTTGAAGTCCGCCGGCTACACCGCACTGTCGGCTTTGACTTTCGCTGCCCCGGAAGTTTCTGATGCTGCTTTCCTGCGTTCACTGTTGGCCATGGCCCCTGCGAGTGAACTCAATACACCTTCGTGTGCTGCTGTCCGTCGGTTGCTTTTGGAGGCCTGCTCCTGAGCTTGAAGGCCTGGAGTGCTTCTGGGTTATGTTGCAAAAGCTCCCTATGGGTGGGGTCCATATCACCCCATTCTATGGGTTCATCATCAGATTCTGTCTTAGCTGACTGGTTGGTGAGTTGTCTGGTTCTAGCCTGCACTACACTGGGCACCGAGGTGAGATCCTGCTTTGTGAGTGGAAAGGAGAGCATCGAACTGCTCTTTGGGGATTTCAGTAACCGTAGTACCAGTGACCATTTGGTACTTGCCATTAGAGTGCTCTACCAACTTAAGGGAGGGAGCTATGGGGAATTCTTTGGGCGCCATTGCAGCCAGGGAGGTGTCGGCGGCCGCTGCTACTGCAGCTTCTGTAGATGGGAGCTCGGCTTGCTCGGGAGGCGCGGCTTTCGCCATGCGGGGCGCAGGAGCTGCGCCGTCGGACGGGGGCGGGGATTCTGCCATGGCAGATCTAGCGAAAGTACAGAGACCGTGAGTGAACTCTAGCAAAAGTCCTAGGACAGGGCACGACCACAAGTAAGAAGAATGAACAAAGAACAAATAAGCTCCCTAGGATCAAACAAGGCTATAACGCGATAAAAGGCGCAATATGCGAAGAACGCAAAAGTGATCCCTAGGAAAGCTCCTTACCTTAGGGGCTCCCACTGGGCTGTGGGACAGCTCTGTGCTCGAGCCTATCCAAGAGTCCTATGGGGCGAAAATGTTTCGGGTCCGTCCCTGATTTCTCTGGTTTTGGAAGTAGGGCCAAACCGCTCGTGTCCAATCTGTCGGAACAAGTTCTTCGGGTTGGTAAGTGTCATGTTGAGGGTCCCATCGAGCGGCAAGATGGGAAGCTGTATAGCCACTGACAAGGGAGCACAATCGCCAAACTGCCCCAGGAGCAGTGCCAGGAGCCCCAGCATTGCGCGCTGGAAGTCTATCCAAAAAGATTTGGACCTCACACGGCTCAACTGGTACACTAACCTTCAGGCCCTTGCGCATATCGGGCGCCTTTTCATTAGCAGCAAACAGAGATTCAAAGTGTGTGGTCATGGCCTGTAACTCTTGTGCTGGTTGTTGTATGGCACCGCCTTTCCGAAGCTGAAAACGCTAGAAGATGGATGAGCTTGCATTGTTCACGTAAGTCATGTCGAGAAGCAGCTTCGCGCGCCAACTGAAGAATGTGAAGTCGTCGTTCCTTATGCAGCTGTACCCCTCGGAGTTTCGTGCGCCTATGCAAACTCTGATAAATGGGGAGATGTTTCCAGAATCGAAAGCAGTGGAGGAGAGCACCCCTATGAGTCATGTGTCGGCGAAGAGCACGCGTGTTGTGAAAATGATCCTATGGTCAAGGCGAAATGGTGAATCGTACCATCCTGCCAAGGTTTGCAAGCCGACTGCGGAGGTTTCCGGGGAAAAACACGACTGGCTGTATTACAAACAGTGGTATGAAGTTCCTCAATGCCATTCATCCCCATTTGAAGCTTCTCCTGAACGGCCCGACGAAACTCGGCTATCCGTGGATCACCCTCAGCATAGCATCAGCGATGGCATTGCGGTCGATGGTCAGGGCACCAGGTGAATGTCTAGATTTCTCCCACGGTCGCCAGACGTGCAGTGAAAAAGCATCCGCCAGATCCTGCACCATGCAGGAGTAACATATGGTCAGCATAGATGCGAAACTGCACCGTGCCGAGGTCACCTGGTGTGTTGCCAGGGGGGCGAGCCGGCCCGCACAGAATTCAACATTCGAAAATGTTTTGCTCGCTCTTTGACCTGAAGAAAAGAATGCGAGCCCGGAACGAAGGTCCGTTCTCCCCGGGCTGAGCCCGGTCGAAAACATGCTGGCGGCCATAAGCCACGCCACCAGCACGGGCCAATCGCGGCGTTGGGCGGCAACAGCTGACAAAACATTCATTGGAAGCAAGACAGCTACATTGAACCGAACGCAGCCATGTTTTGCCACTTTGCAAGGCAGCTCTCATGAATCACTTGCCCGTCTTCTCGCTTCTTGCTCAAGGGCCGAGTTGCCCCGTTTTTAGTCTCGGCCTACCAAGGCCGAAGCCTGCCTCAGGTGTCTGTTCAGCCGGGCATCATGCTCTCAGCTTTTCCAGGTTGGGGCAGGGATGGCTCAGAAGCGCACCGGAGAGTGACTCCGGACAAGTGGTGCGTCACCAGGGAGGACGGGACGGTAACACAGCCTTTGAAGTAGCCTGGTTCAGGCTTCACATTTTAGGATATTTTAGGGACCACTATGCAGCCTGCTAGGTTGGAAGGTGTCGTTCTGAGCTCCATGAGAGCCTCGCATGTCAGAGTGTCATCCACGAGGACCTGAAGTACTTGCGGAAAGAGATTCAGCACGCCGTCCGAGTAGGGGGCATCAGACCAACCGAGCGGGATGATTTTGATCCGGAGGATGACCCTAGGATGTCCTTGTCGTCACAAGTTGTGTTTGTTTTTTTGTTTAAGTTACGCGTCCCTAGGAGGGAAGCACAAGCAACCAAGGATACCATCGGCCCCAACATGTACAACGTCGTCGACAACTACATCAAGCCACTGTGCGAACAGGCTGGGAACTCCAGCTGGGCACTCCTACGCAACCCAGACGGGCTCAGCTGCGATGTCTTCATCACTCATGGGTGGGCAGAAGGGATCTACGAGTTCATCGACAAGGTTCTGGCCTCCTGGCCGCCGCATGCTAACGCCGCATGGTGTTGCGTGCTGGCCAACCCTCAGAACTTGGACATCGGCCAGATGCTTGAAACGCCCCAAAGCTCACCATTCGCAGCGGCCTTGAAGGCTGCGCATTCGGTTATGGTGGTGGCCAATAGGACAGGCAGCATCTACGCCCGGATCTGGTGCACCTATGAGGCATACCTTGCCTTTATGTGGGACAAGCATATCTTCACGGCGCATCCACCAACGCGGGGGTGGTTTCGAGCAGTGCAGGCAATGACGATGGAATCAGCCATCAAGGGGCTGGAGGGCATGTTCCAAGCATTCTGGGGGCTCAATTTCGAGACGGCTCGATTCGCGTCAGTTTGCTTGGGTTCCCCCGTGTTCGTCCTACCGTACCTGGCCAGTCGCTTATATCATTGCTCACAAAAGAGAAGCGAGTCCAAAGATTTGGGCCAGAACTTCACATCCATCGTGCATGCTGAAGCCAGTAGGCCGGAGGACAAGCAGAACATCCTTCTAGACATCGGCAACAACACGGAAGAGGTGGACGACTTCATCCGGTTGTTGTTGCAGACGACGGTGGTCACTCCAGACACCAAGCAAGCCAAGGCTCTGGGAGTGCGGTTTTCGGGTGTGGCCGACTGGAGCCTGCCCGTGCTGCTGGCCGTGTACTGGCACCTCGTATGGCCAACACAGCTCTTGTTCCAGGAAGACGTTACTTGCAACTTGAGCATGGTTTGCTTCATTGTTTGCTCCGTATCATGGGTGGCATCAGACTTCTTCCATCGAGCCTTCATCCGCTCCGTGCTGACGAAGCTTGGGATCGTCCTCCTGGCTTTGCATGCTCTCATGATTGTTCCCGCAGTCTTCAACTTTGGCGTGGTGACAGATACCAGCGCCACGAGCCTGGAACAAGTCGTGGTCCATGTCGTGGGAGTGGCTGCAACAGCTTGCTGCATGCTGGGGGTCTGTGGCTAGGTTGCTCATAAGGCGTCTATGTAAGGCTTACTGTAATAAGGGCGTCTAATTCGAATCAGAACCAGAATCATCTTCATATTTTTGCCATAGAGTATATGTTTCGTACACACGAATGTATGCATACATATATATATATATATATATATCCCTTGGCAGCAATCCAGGTGGCCTGGCCAAGATTCCTCGCTACGGCCTCGCCGTAGCCAGCATCCTGAGCCCTGGAGTCCCAGACTTCTCTTCTTTGGAGGTGGGGACTGTCCTTGAACGGCTGTATGATAACGACAACATGACTACTAACAACAACAGTAACTGTAAAACTTACTGTTCGTACTAATTTAGAGTACTAACAAGGATTATAAGAAATACAAAAGTAATTGCATGAAAGCCTATACTGATGATACGGATTCCTAGGTTATGTTTCAGATTGTAACATGGGTTCCTTGATAAATTGCGCCCAATGTTGGGCCAACTGCAAGGTGCTGGCACGTCCACCAAGCTGTTTTCCACAGATCTGCTTGAGCAGCCCGGCAAGAGTCTGGGCTGCTGCTAGCTGCTAGCTGGTCTAAGCTGAAACAGGACCACATATAGACCCTACACAGTAGGGCTCTTATTGTAAGGACATCCGCAAAAACGCCCCCAATGTATAGAAAAACAACCAACAGACTCATTGACTTGATTCTGTGGGGACTATGCAGGGGTGAGTACAGCTACGACTGACATGGGATTCCTGAGTTATCAGCAGCCCAGGAGTTTGGGCTGGAAGTGTCGGCTGTGGACAGACCTGCCTGGGCTGCATGAGATCATGGTGCTGCCGCAGACGGACATCGGAAATGAAGTTTGTTCTAAGCTTCGGGCGGTCTTCGACATCAGACAGCCTGATAGAGGGTTGCCTAGCTGACCCCCCTGGCTTCGCAGAGTTAATCTGATGATCTCTTGTCCCCTGATATCAGGCGCTGGGATGAAATTCCCACAGCCCATAGGTCCTTCCGTACGGCGTCTGCGTTTGAGATGGGGAGTCGGCGCACTGCAGGTTGTACAGTTGTTCTGTTTAAGATGGCATAGGGTGCCGAGGTCATAAGTACTTCGGCCCGTGAAGGCATGTAAGGATGCCTGCAGCAAGGGCATCCGCTCAAGACTTTTTGTGGCTGATGGGCCTGCAGATACCACTTCCGGTGTTACATCCGGTGCTCCCTCAACGGCTCTCAGTGGCGTCCTTCCTCTTTGGCCCTGAATGCGGCGGTTCTAGTGTCCAGGAAGGATCACAAGACAACCTTCTGGAAGCTTGGTAATATTCCAAACGTCCAAGGCCCATCGGCAGCTTTAAGTTCAGGAGCTCTGCCGGGAAGCCCAACAGCAGCTTTCCTCAGACCCCTGAGTCTGACGACTCCGGCCCTGTGAGAAATGATGAGAAATGTCCCACACCACGACCACGGGAGCAGGTTGCATGCACCTAGCATCCCCCTTGATAAGCCCTATACTAGGATCCCCGCATGTGACTCAGAAAATTCCGCCTACAGTGATTCGATCCCGAATCGCTCGGGTGAGGGCCGAGTGTCCTAAGCAGCAGAGTTTTTCCTAGGGATATATCGTTTGGCACTGTTGAACGGATTCACTTGCATTGGGAGCATGAGCGTTCCTATCGTGCGTGCATGGATGCTTTGCTTTGGGATGAAATGCGTTGGTAACACGTCATGGATACTCTGGAGATGGATGTGCCGGTAGCACAGATGCTTTCGCGGGTATGGATGCTTTGGCGGTTGGATGTACAGGTAGCACAGACGTTGCTATGTTTGACAACAGGTTGCGGACGTACGGCCGAGGGCTTCTACTTTGCACTGTTATGTTTAGCTGTGCCTTCGGCGGTTTAACTTTTCGGTTTTGTTTCTAGGGTCTTTATTGCGGGATTGATTGAAGGGATTTGACAGGTGTTTCATGCAGTGGTATGAATGTTTCCTTCCGACACAGGACCCCTTCCCAGCCTTCCGCCCTGTATGCAGATCCTCTGCGAAATGCCAGGCTGCTGGCAAACCAGGCAACCCCAAAATGAAATCCCAGATGAGTGGCTGATGTTGAGGTCGCAAGTCCGAAGGTTGTTCTAGTCCTTCCAAAAGTGTCGAAACACTAAACTAAACCTTTCACCCCAAATCCATTTAAATCCTAAACCTCAAACCCTAGCCCTCAAGCGACCCTTGGAAGCTCTGCAACATCCCGTTCTGCGAGTTTGTTTTTCAGTTCTTGTAACGATTTTAAATCATCATGGAGAATCCAAGCATGCGGGCAATTCCTGATATGGCTGCAAGGTGGAAGGGAGGATGGTCCCATCACGTGCACTGAGAAAGATGCGTCCTATTTCTGGCTTCGTTTCCACACGGTTGTCAGTTGTCAGTTGTTGTTGTCGGAAAAAGCTTGTTGCGTCTGTAGGGTATTTCATCGCGGGGCTGGCCATGGCGACCACTGCTGGTCGGGGGCCGTCTGCCCCGAACTCAACGAGTCTCAACGAGTGCACGTATTGTGCAGCTTCTTTGCTGATTCTCACAAGGCATTTTGCAGCAAAACGGGGGTTTGATCTTCTTGGGCCGTATTCCCAACCCGGGAATCATCATCTAGAATCCTTCGGGTCATTCCCAATCTCCGTTTCTTGTGCAGACATGGGTCAAGTAAGGTCCATGGGGGGCTGCTTGGACTCGTGGAGGTGCTTAGGAAGCTTTGTTCGTTCCTTCGTTTTTGTTCGTACTTTGGTTTTTGCCAGGACATGGAGAACGTGAAGGAAGAGGCGGGGCAAAGCGTCAAAGGGCGAAACTGACGAAGCAGTGGTTGACCGAATTGTTTTGGGGTTGACAGGCTGTCAATCCACCGAGGGCTCGAAAACCGAAATTGACGCTGGTGCCTCACGGGGTTGCGCAGCCGAGCTTCAGAAAAACACGTTCAATAAGTAGAAAATGAGGCATCGACACTTTTTCGAAGAGACTGGCCTCAAGAAGGCACGGAGTTCATGCGTAAAGCGTTCTATCAGCAACACGCTCGTGCTCGCCATAGGTCATCGGAGACTGCTCTAAGATCAAATTCAAAGGAGAGGGGCACGAGTTCGAAGACCTCAAGGTTCGTTTGCCACTTGCATCATACTTGCATGTGGTCTCAACCCTGGTACACTTGCAAGCTTTAATCAAGTTTCTATGCATGGCTAGGTGCTGATGGCAACGTACAAGAAGTGGTTCAAGGAAGTGTACCCTTTCGAGGAGCTTTCGGAGAATTATTATCAAGTCACTGTGCGAGATTATGGCATGTGGTGCCAGGACAACTTCGAGGATTTGATTTGGAAGTCCCGTGCAGTTCTAGACAAGAAGGAGCTAGCTGTGTCTTGCACTGGCAACGGTGAATGCGCAAGCGTGACAGGAGCAGGACGACAAGGGTCTGGTAAGTAACCCGAAAGATGAGCTGCATGAGTTTGTACCTCACAGGTTCAGCGATTTGTCTTTGGTATTTTCTGGTATTTTCTGGAGGGCCACTGAGTGCTCACCCAAGGCTCAGACTTTGGTACAAGACTTCTGCGAATCAGGCCTGGTTCCTCGAACAACTCCTGAAGTCCACTCAAAGTATCTCAAAGTGACGCAAAGGTCTCAAAGCCAATGGAAGAGGAGGTTGCCGAGATGCCGTCTGTGCAGCAAAACTCGTGACACTAAGTCTTTGCACGAACAACTTCTTGTGGAAGGCTGGCCATCGGCAGCTTGACCCAGAAACTGCCAAGCGCGTCTGGTTCTTGGGGGCGTTCCTGGTATGGTGCACAAGTATCATGGGACGTGGCTTTGGCCTTCCGGTGTCTTTGTGAGAGTGTCTGTGTGTGTGTGTGTGTGCGTGTTTGTCTGCACACCAATCTCATCACAACTTGGTGCTTCCACGTTCTTTGGTCAACGCGGATCCATGCGTCCGTGCGTCCGACCATGAAGGGCTACCTTGCTTATTGTGAAAGTGTCTGGGACGCAGCGTCCCCCTAAACCTTAAACCCGAAACCTTAAACATTAAGCCGAACGGCTAAGCCCTAAACCCTTAAACCTTAAACCCTTAAACCCTAAGACCATAAACCCTAAACCTTAAACCCTAAACCCAGCAGGTTGCGGAGAACCGTGCGCGAGCGCTCGAGCGGAAGAGGCCATCAGAGAGGAGATGTTGTGACCGTATGTGACCGTGAGGGTTTGTGAGGGTTTGTGAGGGTGTCTGAGCCCGTGGAGGCAGCGCGAGGAGGCAATGGAGCGGGAGGCCCAAGCTGCAGCGGCTGCGCAGGCCGCACAGACAGCGCCTGACTTTTTCGAGGCAAGGCGGAGAATGAATGCAGCACATCAGTACATTGTAATTCTTCTTTTACGTTTACAATCATCTTTACACGGCGACAGGAGGAAGATGATGCAAGGAGCCGAGTTCAGCGCCCCAGTTGCGCCAACTGTCAGGCTGTGTGGTCCGAGGTCTTTGGTTTCGGTGGCATGGAGTAAAGCTGAGCTCCAACTTCCTGACACCTGTCGATGGGGGCACTCGCAGCAGTGGGGTTATCTGGGGGAAGCCTTGCTGTCACTGCTGACAAATAAAAGACAAGTGTCGGCAACTTTGGCAGTTTCACATCCGTCACACTCAGGGGACTTGTTCTGCCAAGCCGGATTTCATGGAAGCTTACAATGCTCGCTGCCTTCCCGGTTCAAGTTTTGAAGCTGCAAGGCATGTTGAGAGTTGAACGGTTCGTGAGCTTGTTGCGCAGCATCGTTTCAGATGTAGACAGACTGCATGAGTTTGAACTGTATGAACAACACCCTGGCACACGGTGCGCACGTGCATAAACTGGAGAGCAAATGAGTGCCACCAGGTGCAGAACATTGCAGAAAGATCACGGCACAAGAGGATTTCAGGGTCTGATGGAGACAGGGAGTGGGCAGCCGGCTGTGGGCACGCACGGTATCTGGCTGGACTTGGAGGATGAAGTTTCTTTAAATAACCTAAACCTCAGCTATGCATAAGCATGTAGTAGTCCAATCCTGGGCTTCTTGCAGGACTTTGTCTCCTGCGATGGCCCGATACAGGAGGAGGGCCATGTAAGCCACCCTGACAACCTTGACATGCACATTCCCAGCTTGTGTCAGGAGGACCTTCGTTCCCTTAGCTTTCCAAGCAACTGGCAAGGGGGCCCAGAGTCGAATCAAGTCGATATGCGGCGTGGGGGACTGCTTGAGAGATATGGGCACATTTGTAGGGCCCGGAAAGCACTGAGAGAGCACACTGAAAGCACCGGCAAGGCCTGCAGCTTATCAGAGCGAGGCCTTGAGGGCTCTGATCGGTGCCTGCCCCGTTGCTGGAACAACTTTTGGTAGGCTCTGTAGACGCTCCCCGCACACCCAAGTCCATGCCCAGGAAAGCGTGGCCGCCTCCCAGGCCAAAGTGGCCACAGCTTTGAAAGTGAAGACACGACTGCAAGACAAGCCCGCACGCACGCACACGCACACGCACACACGCACACACGCACGCACACGCGCACACGCGCACACGCACACACGTACACACGCGCACGCGCGCACGCGCGCACGCACGCACGCACGCACGCGCACGCGCACGCGCACTGCACGCGCGCGCACGACGCACACCACACGCACACGCACACGCACACGCAACACGCACACGCACACACACGCACACGCACACGCACCGCACACGCACACGCACACGCACCACGCACACGCTTGCACACGCGTGCACACGCGTGCACACGCGTGCACAACGCTGCACACGCGTGCACACCGTGCACACGCACACGCACACGCACACACACGCACCACCACGCACACGCACACGCACACGCACACGCACACGCACACGCACACGCACACGCACACGCACACACGCACACACGCACACGCACACGCGCACACGCACACGCACACGCACACACACACACACACACACACACACACACACACACACACACACGCACACCGACGTACGCACACCCACGCACGCACACCCATGCACACGCACACACTCACACACACTCACACTCACACTCACACTCACGCTCACACTCACACTCACACTCACAGCCACGCAGTTATACACAGGTGATCTGCTCTTCTTGACTGAGCAACAGCCTTTCGAAAATCAAAGGGAGTCATGTTGACAAACGATACATGCCACTCAAAAGTGCTTTCGCCTCTTCGAATCCAAGCTTCACTGAAAAACATTGTTGAGGTAGATGCTCGCATGCAGTGGACGGCTGCGGATGCATGTGACCGCAAGATATTCCATTCCTTAAACTCTCGCAGGGGTTCACGGACTAGTTGAGCAGTGAAACAGATCCATTTCGGTCTTGTTGCTGAAGCCTTCTGGCTCTTTTTCCACCGATGTCTAAGCGGTGACTTTCGGCCGTTTGGGATGTCTCACTTACTTTTGTGTAGGTCAGCACCACTATCGGACAAAATCACATGAATCGGAACATATCGGTGCATTGTCCAAGTTAAAAGAAGCTCGGCGGGGTCCGGTCCATCTTCGGGATCCTGGAGTTGACTTTGGGGTTCGGCTTTAGCTCTGACATGCTCTGCTGGGCCACTTTTTCATCTCCACACAAAGCATGCGTTCCGCGAGTCTGCCTGCTTTTGCTGGGTTGTTTCGGTACCAAGTGTGCTGTCTTGATGCAGAGGCCAACGTGTTGCAGTGGCTGGCAAGCCCTCGCTGGCAGAGCAGGTGGCCTGTGGCCACCCTCCTTGCCATCTGCTTGTAAGATCTTGCACGCATGCGCGGCAAAACGCAGGTCAGTGGCGTCACGTTTGCTCCACAGCCGAGGGCGTGCAGGGTGTCGGTGCAAGGGAGCATTCATGTTGCAAGGGGATCTGAGGTGCTACCCGCTCCGGAGCTTTGCCAATGCTGAACAGCTGGTAGCCGCAACAGAGCTGCCGCCTTTCCATGGCGTTTTTCTGCGGCATTGCTCGTGCTGTGCATGCGATGTGATGCGATGTGATGCGATGCGAAATGATGTGAAGCAGTGTGAGGTCACGTCTACGCCTTGTTCGTGGCTGGGCTGTCTACGAGCGTGGCGACCGGCCTGGGCACTTCGCGGTGTGCCTAGCGACGCCCACGCCCGACAACGCCCCCCACCACGCCCGACCACCGCATTCCAAAGTTTTCATTGTCAAATGAATGTTTCTCACATCGCATTCTTTGCACAATTTGGTGCTTCGGTCTGAGGTTGCGGAGCGCTATTGGTGGAACAGCCACCCAGACGGGCAATGGGTCGATCTCACCCCTCGCCCAGAGGCACTTCATTGCAGTTCTGTCTTTGTTCATTATTGTAAGCTTTGTACATTTTGTACCAATGATTGACTGGGGGAGGCGTGGAGTGATAGTGAGTCTGTGGATAAATCTGTACGCACAACGTGAGAAGACACGAACAATGATGAGGCTTTCTTCTTATTTTCGGCGATTGAACAGTTCATGTGCCGCTCTGAACAGATCTCACAAGAAATGATGACCTGCATGCGTTGTTAGCTGGGGTTTTGAGAAGTCATGTATGGAAGTGTCCGTCGACATCTTGCAAATCAAGGCCTAGTTGAAATGCTTTGTTTGATGATTTCAGCGGGTTTCGAAACCGCTCATCGGTTTGAGCTCGTACGTGTCCTATGACGACTCAGCACAGAAAAGGAACATTCTTTGAGCTTGGCTCATTGTTCAAGTGAGAATCCACGTTCATAGTCGCAGCAGAGGGAGCGTTTAAATTCGTATCCCAGTACAAGACAAGGATGCTGGGGATCGAGATGCCAGTCTTCGGTGCTAATGCCGGCAGTATTTGCAACTCCTCAGCATTTGTATGGAAGTTGACCAGCCGAACAAATTTAGCAACAATTGCAGATCACAGTCATTCACTTGAAAGAAGCCATGTGACCAATTGTGCGAATGAGACATGAATGTCTGGCACTCCCACTGTGAATGCACGTGTGAAATGCAATGAAGAAGCAGTCAAGGAACTCCAGCAAGCCTCGGAACAGCAGGGGAACAGCAGGACCAAACATGCAGAATCGATTAGGATGATTAGGAGATGTCGCAGAGAAAGGTGTTACCATGTGGTACGGAGTGTTCGATTGAAGCAGGAAAGGTTGCATGAACATCAGTGAGATGTGCTACCACGCTAGCACAGTCAGTCAAGGCTGCAGGTGACTTCCGCATTTTGTTTTTCCAGTCAGGGCCTGGAGGAGTTGCTGCTGGTCGAGGCGCCTGGCAGCGAGAAGCCTCGGGGCTCCTTGACGGCCCAACAGGCAAGAAATGGCAAGAACAGAGTCTGTACATGCCTGTACAGTGCCGAGCGATACGACGGTGCATTATGCAATCCATCGGGATATCACCTCCCCCGAGGTGAGGCCTTTGAGGCCTCTGAAACCCTCACAGACTTCTGTTGCGTTGCCAGGCGGCCTTTGCCCAGCGGCTTTTGGCCTGGCGATTCCCGAAGCTGGCCGCCAACATGGCGCCGGCAGTGGCGTCGGCAGCGGCGCGTCCAGTGAAATCCGTGGAGCCATCGCGGCAAGCGCAGCCAGCGCAGCCAGCGCAGCCAGCGCAGGCAGCAAAACCAGCGCAGGCAGCGCAGCCAGCGAAACCAGCGCAGGCAGCGCAGCCAGCGCAGCCAGCGAGCCAGCCGGCGAAGGCCACTGATTGCAGGGTGTACGCATTGCCATAAGTCAGCACCAATTATCGCCACATTCTCAGGTGTTGGATTATTCCAAGTGGAGCAACATCGCATGCAACCAAGTTCTTGTCACGCCGCGGAGGGAAGGAGTTGTGAAGAACTGCTTACGCAGTGTGTTCGCCTGCGGGCTATGTGGGCTGTTCAGGTCGACTCGGACGAAGAGGAAGCTCCGCAGCGCAGAGAGGACGACGCGGACGTGGGGGTCAAGGAGCACGAGAATCCCTAAACCCTTTCTTCTCCTTCCTGCCCATATTGCTGCCCATTGCTGCCCATTCTTCATTGCTTTCAAAAAACTCTTCTTGTCAGGACTTGGCGGAAGGAAGAAAGAAGAAGCCCGTCCTGCCAGTGCCCGACTTCCTTCAGGGCAGCACGGCCGGGGGAGGTCGAGGAATGCTTGCCGACACAGTCTACAATGTCTACAGCTTTTGCAGAACTGCAGGTGGCACTAACTGTTTAACCTCCTTGCTGAAGATGCTGGACTCTGATGAGAAGAAAGAGGAGTGAGCAGAGATGAACAGTGTGAACAGCTACCAAGTAAGCCAGTTCAATAGTCGTGCTCCAGATTGCGAAGCGCAGGACCATGCGCACAGCTTGGCCCAGGCACCTTTGACGAGCACACAGCACACGCCGTGCTCTGGATCGTAACCATGAGAAACACAGGTCTTCGGTCGCAGCTTTCACTCCGCCATGCTGGATCGCCCGAGGCAGCGATGTCATGTTGCATCAGTTGTGTTTCTTAGGCCATTTAGGCCTTCCTTTTGCTCATTCTTGCTGTTTCTTGCTCACTGAGCTCGTGCCAGGCAGAGTTTCTACAAACGTGGTCTGGACAGCCTGGACAAGGCAGGCATGGCAGGCTGCCGCTGACATCCGGGCAATATTTGATGCCTTGCTCTGAGGGCACCTTTGTGGCCGAAACCTCAAAAGGTCAAGGGTTCAACGCAGCTTGTGGAGAAGGGGAGGTTCAAGAGCTCCCAGCTCTACGACTCAACAAGGTCATGTTGGGACTTGGTTCTGTGCTTCCGCTTCTCCATGCCGCGAAGCGTGGGTTTTCTGGACTGCTGCTCGAGACGCCAGATGCCCAGTGCCCTGTACTGGACCTCATGGGCCAAAATCAAGAGACTCTAGGGAAGAGTGCACACATCCTTGGAGAGCTTGAGGTCAAACAAGTTGGCAGAGGCCATGTTTTTGACAGTGTGGATGGCATTGCCAACTTGGCTATATGACTTGCAAAAGAGTCTCAAGAGGAAGTGAAACGCAACTCGGCTAGGTGGCTGAGCACCTTCTGAAGGCGAACAACCTCACCTTTCCAGTTGCTGTCTCTGGGCAGCAAGTACTTTTGCCTGTCATGGAACAATTTTAAATCATATTTTAACGAGACACTGGGGCAAGCCTTGGTCTCAGGCTCAGCCCTCCCCAAACCCGCGAGCAGCGCTGTTAAGAGCTGAGCCACTCACAGTAATTCTTTAGACATGCGATGGTAATATTCGTAATGCTGGTACATGCTGGAGGACTGCCCACTTAAGCGGCAGGATGCTGCACGGTCAACAGATGTATTTTGGTGGCAGTGGGGGCACAGAGACCCGCAACACTAGCAGCCACTAGCACCCTGACTTGGGGGCAGAAATGTGGTTCAGGTGCGGCCTTGTGGAGTGTCTGAGTGTCTGCGGGGGCTTGAGTTTCAAGTGTCGCACGGCTGCCCACACAGAAACAAACGAGGTCTATACATCCATGTTCGGCATAACGGTTGTGTCTCGTGTTTCTGCTTTGTTGGCTCGGTAGCACGTTGCAAAGTGTCCGAGGCATCACATGCATGCTTCCATGCAATGATGTGCCGCGTGTGCTGTCATGCAAGGTTGTCAAGGAAGGCCTGGACAATGCTTTGGCCCTATCGGTGTGATTCACATTTCCACGAGACATGGTCGTAGAGCATGAGATCGCAAAAATCCAGGAAGCAGCGGTGCAAGACACAATCTCAAGGACGGGTTCAGAGTTGCTCAAGCTTTTTTTTGGGCCTGCTCGCCTCCTCTTCGTCTGGAGGCAGGTGCCCAAGGTGGCCACCGCCTGTGTGGTCACTGAAAGGCCCGAGAAAGTTCGTGATGTTCGTGAAAGCTGACGGGATCTCTCGGGTACGTCTTTGCCCTATCCCCTGCAAAGGATGGCGCACGATCTGCTGTCAAATGGCATTGTTCCCGCATGCGTCACAGTGCACCAGGCAGCAAAAAATAGATGCCATGATTGTGCCCGCCATTTCTACCTACTCCAGAAGCCAGGCCCTGCGGAAACGTGGGGTCACATCTATCCGGCACCTCCCAAAGACTGTGGAGCTGCTGGCAGCACCAGCCTGGCACCTTCGCTTTTGGCGGCCCTTTTGGGCGCCTCACTTGCTTTTCCTTAGTCTGTTCAACTCAATCTCTAGTGCTTCTCGCTTTCTCAGGCGGAGATCCGCTCAGAGCGGTTGCTGGACTTCGACCTGCGGCCCTTCAATACCCTACGCATGCGTCCCAAACCTGCCAGAGCAAGACAGTTCCAAGCCAAATCATGGCATTGTCACATGTTGTCACTGCATGCCGGATTGTCAAAAGGTCACACGTCCTCGAACCCGAAGGCAGACTTTTGGTGGTGGCCGGCCGGGCTACAGATCCCGAGGTCCTCTGAGATTCTGCATTTCTGGTAGCCGCTGGTAGCCGAGGTGCGGATGGAGAGCCAGCCCAACACACACTGCGCCCTCTTGGGGCCCGCGCTTCCTGGCTGCACAAACTGCACACGACCTCGCCTTGGAGGGTTGAGGATAATGATCTTGTAGGATGCCGGATGTCAGGAAGACGCTTTGCGGCTTCGATTTCGAGCGCTCGCCCGAGATCGCCTTGGACGAGGCCGCCCAGTGTCGGCTGAGTGTGCCAGTTGTGCTGACGTGTGTTGACATGTGTCGAAATGTGCCGACTGGTTTGTGGCAGAGTTCGGCAGCGGCAGTTGTTGTGCAGTGGGTTACGGCCGTCGGGCATTTTTCGGCTCAGGTCCGGAGGCCGATGAAGCTCCAAGCTGACCAGCGCGGTCGCTGCAATTGTGCCTCGATGGTACCTTTACACCTCTGAACCGCGTTTGAAGGATCTCATACAGAAATCTCAATGCAGTCTCAAGTGTTCTGAAGGTTTTGTTGCGTGTTGAAGCGTTGTTGACCCACAAGCTTCTGAGGCGTCGCTGTCTGGTGGGTGGCAAGGTCTCGAGCTGAGGGTGCGACGGCTCTGCCGTGGTAGAAAAGTAGTAGAGATGAGGTTTGGGGATGAGGAGTACTCCACACGCCCCGACCTGGAGAGTGCGCGGCCACGATCCGAGTGCGACCCGTGCCTGTGCGCACAATTCGAGCAGAATTTTCTTTCTTCATCAAAGCAAATCGTGGCAAGTCGCAAGGCGCTCTGAGCGCTCTGAGCGTTCTGAATGGAAGCAGGCCATCCACTACCTTGCAGGCTCAGGGTTGCCTGGCTAACTGTGATGCTCGGTGATCTGGCAGTGTTCCGAGGCGAGACGTCCATGTTCAACGGGGACGTGATCGCCGGCGCCCCGGCGCCTCGTGCCTGTGATTGCCTGTGGCACCATGTGGCGCCCGGCTCAATTTGTGCAACCCGAGGACCTGTTGGTCTCGATCACCCCGCGCTTCACCTTTCGCATGCGGCAAGAAAGCTCGGTGCCTAGGGTCGAAAGAGTGCTTGTGAAGCACTATGAAGCACTTCAACATGCAGGCTACACAGTTCTGTTTTCATTTGCCCTTACAGAGGATTGTTTATGGGGTTCGTACTAGTTTTAATTATCATGTTTTGTGCTTATTCTCCACTGCCTGGGCCAGGGATTTCCAGGGCTAGCTCCATGGGGTTCTTCAGAGAATCGGTTCCTGTCTCCTGAAATCCTGTTCTAATCATATTCCCCCAGCCTGGGGTGGTCACCTGGCGGCTGTTGTTCATGATGCTTATGAACGGGAGCCCTTTTCGGGCCCACTGTGGGGCACACGTTTGCCACTTCATGTCTTGCGTGGAAATATACACCAAGAGGTGCATTTTTGAAACAATTTTTCGAGGGCGGGGGCCCGGCCGTTAGGAGTGAGGTGAGGGCGCCATGTCGGAGAAGTTGTCGGCGTAGGAGTCGGAGAAGGATATGGTGCAGCCGGCAAGAAATTCTGGACTCGACAAGCAAGAGACACTTGCACCCCGACAAGTAAATACTTCATCACAGAATCACAGCCGGAGTGAACAGGTTGAGAAATTTCGGAGTCAACAGCTTCACAAGCATCCAACCAATGCCTTCATGTAGTACTAGGGCTTTAGTGGTTCGTGCATGAGCACAGCCTGGATGGGCGGCCTGACTTCGGTCAGGCCCCGGCTGCGGGCCTAGATCTCACGGTCTGGGCCCCCAAAACCCGAAAAGGCAACCGGGCAAAAAAAAACAGCAACCTTGGGAGACCGAGACCCAAGAAAAGAAAGCACACACCGAGAATAACAAGAGTGGCGTCGCCAGCTTCGTCCCGGCTGGCACGTGGTACGGTTTTGGGTCGGCTCGTTCAGGCATGAGGGGTTCCGGAATCGACTAAAAGGGCCGCCTGCCAACAATGAGAATTGGGTGGGGGCCGAATAGGGAACCTTTGCTGCCACACAGCGAGGACTTTCTGAGATGGAGCTGGTCCATAATAGCTTTGGAAACGCTCCAGGTCCCATGTCCGTGGAGGTGCCGATTTGGCAGCTCAGCAGACAGTTAGGGGTTGTAGAGAAACTCTTAACTTGCTTGTGTTGAGCTCCATGTGTCGGTGAGGGTGCAAGCGCCGACGAGTACCAAGTTCTCGGCGACGCTGCCGATCCTGCCAGGGCCCTCACAAAATTGTCCAATCTCAATGAAGGAAGAGTCGGGGAGAGCGATGTTTTTGAAAACGCAGGCCATACCATTTCCTCATGATGACGGACATGGAGCGTGCACAGGCAGCATGACGGGGCAAAGAACGAAATGGAAACATTTCTTGCATTTTACAAACTTGCCTGGAAGGTTTACCAAAGGTCAATTCGCGATGCCGCCCAGACCTCGATGCAAAGACTGAGTGATCTGTTAATGTGTGCTGCCCCAATGCTTCTCAGCAGAGGTGCAATCCCAACGCAAGAAGCTGGGTCGCCGGCCGCGGGTGCTGGATGCAGGCAGCACATGAAGCTGCGAGACGACGTAGAGTGAAGTGACATCTCGGTGTTTTAAGGCTCTGGCATTGGCCTGCTCGGAATGATGGCGGCGTTCGCGGGCCCGGTAGTTCCGGTATCTACCCATCGGAGAATGCTCATTGCATGCCTAGGCTGGAGGGTGCAGAAGTATGGCTCTGCGAAGCAGTCTGGGACCCCGAAAAAGAGTTTTTTTTGCTTGTTAAAAGAAGCCACAGAGGCATTCTTCTGCGGAAAGGCGTCCCTCTCATTCGCGTGCCTGCCTTAAGGTGCCCTTGATGCGGCAGACCTGCCGCGAGGCGTAGCGCTCAAGAGTCACTTCAAACTATACGGGCAAAATCCACAGCTCACCACAGCTCACCACAGCTCACCACAGCTCACCACAGCTCACCACAGCTCACCACAGCTCACCACAGCTCACCACAGCAGACCACGGCTCACCAGAGATCACCGCAGCTCATCACAGCTCCACAATGTCCATCATATGATATCATATGAGTTTTCTATGGATGTTCAGGTGGTGGCCGCCAATGCTGCTCTCATCACCGAGAAGCGTGGCTTGGTGAACCTTCTGCCCCCGATGATGTCAACCAGGCGTACGCTCCATGCGTGCAGAATGAAGCATAGTCGTTTGAGTTCTGTTCAGCTTTGTGCTGTATTGCTTTATTGCAGATCCGTTGTCTACGGTTGTGCAGCTTGGTGTTCGGGATTGCGCACGGGGGGGGGGGGGGGGGGCTGTGTTCTCTCCCTCGAGGCTCGTGGTTGGGGAGGATGTAGAAGAAAAGTTCGACATTGTCCGTGGCCCAGAGCGCACAGCGCCCCTTTCTGCAGTACAAATGGTGACCTTAGCATCCAATCTGAAAGCAGATGAAAGCAGGTCGTCTCAGAGGCCAGGGCCCTGGTAATCGATCTCCAAGTTGAGTGGCATAGTGCTTAGAATTTGAGCTTATGCCGAACATATGATTAGGTCATGGATCTCTGGTGCTTGGGTTTGGCGCACAGACAAGTGCTCGACAGTTCGTTCCGGGTTTGGCTGGATTGCCAAGTGTAGCGAGGCGAAGGCATCATCCCGACAATGCGGCATGCCCACAAGAAGCTCTTGGCCGAGACCGGCGTGTCTGGAGCCAAAAGTGACTGGCCTGTCGCGCCGTACAGCACAGCATAGCGCGGCCCGTTTGGCCGCTTGGTGTGGTGAGACATGGTGAGACGGGCTTCAGGATGCTCCCTGGACGCTTGCAGATCTTCGTGCAGCCCTTGGAGCTGTCGCTCTGGGGCCAGCCCGGAGCCCAGGCGTTCAAATGGACATGTTATGCCTTTGAAACGTGAAGGGGAGATGATGGAGATGGAGCAGAAACGTTTCAGTTCTTTTGTGTGGCTTTGTGTCGTTGTGGTTTCTCATTGTGGAATTTGGGTTCAATCTTTTTCATGGCAAGGGCTGAGCGGGAGAACGGTGTGGACCTGCAGGCGGGGGCTAAGGGCCTGCGGTCATGGACGGAAGACCACTTGTCTGTGTGCGAAGACAAAGGAAACGCACTTGCAAGTGCGTGCGTGTGTGCGTTCGCATTGGCCAGGCCATGGGCAAACACTTCAGGAGCAAGCTCGATTCTCACGCGTTACGTTTCTCATTCATGATGTGTTGCATTCCTAGAGTGAAAGCTTCTCAGACCCAGGTTTTCGGCCGTGAGAATCGACCAGTTTCCAGGGCAAAGTCCTCAAACGTCCTCCAGCTATCTCAAGCTTGAAGTTGTTACGGATCAGCGCATGACACATGTCCAGACTCAGGCGGTACCTCACCGAGGAGCCCATCGCGGCTCTTGAGGTGAGTGAGAATGCTCGAATTCGATTGCGTTCGAGTGCTCTTGCTGTTACCGTGCCAGCTAGACAACTCGTTGACCGTTGACACGGCAGACAGTTGGACCACCCACTGGTACCAGTACACTAGCCCATGCTTTTGAGTGATGAGCGCGGCAGGTGAACCTTGCCTGTGTACCGGCGCAGCCCGGCGAGGGCGAGCCGAATGTCGAGAACGACGTCAAGCTGTGCATAAGAATGGGCCGGGACGTGCAATTCCTGCAGCCTTCTTGTCGAAATCGCATTTTTGCAGATTTCCTCCAGGTGGAAAGGCTGCTTTGCGGGCAAAAATCTCCAGCGCTTGGGCCCTGGGCTTCTCTTGTTGCGGCCGCTTGTGAGCCTCAGCAGTGCATAGCAGTGAATAGCAGTGAATAGCAGTGCATAGCAGTGCTCCGGAAGCAAGGTCAAGGTGGATCACAGCGGCATGCTGTCAGGTGGCTCGTTGCACCTCCTAATCCTCATTATCAGAGTGCCACTGCTTATGGACTGCTCCCCAATTGTGGAGGTTATGGTATTTGGTGGTCAGCGGATCTGGGAAATGGCCACGTGCAAGCCTCAGCATGATGGAGCCTTGCCAACAAGCTCTGTCTATCTGTCTATCTGTCTGTTCGTCCGTGCGTCTGTCTGTCTCGCTACAGCATAGCATAGCATAGCATCTGTGCGTGCTAATCATGAAAGATGCAGCTGCATTGCAGGAACGGAGATACCGCTGTCAATTTTCATGACAAAGGGCAAGCGAAGCTACTCGCTGGGGCATCGCATCACCCAAAGAGTGGCCACCCAACAGAAGCAGGACCGTGCTAAACTGCGCAAATGAAACGATGTCGCGGTACAGAAAGCAATGCCAGCAGCACAGACGGATACAGGGTCACAAAGCTGTTTTCGGATATGCTGCTTGAGAAACGAGCCAAATTGGTTGGACATGTTGAAGTCACGACTCTGGCTCTGCACGGCAGGTCAGCTACAAACCAAGCAGGGCAAGCTTATACGCAACAGGCCCAATAGGCAAGCGCAATACACCGGAAGCAGGTAACCTCTAACTGCTCTTGTGGCTACAAATGTCGCAGAATGGGGCTTTCAGGCTTTGAACATAGTTGGGATTACTGTGGGCAAGACAAAGTAAACGTGTGTCTTTCACTCTCGCTGGGAGGTCGGTTGCTTTCCTTGCCGCCAAGACATGTACCACACGCTTACACAATTAGACTCTGAGGATGTTCCCGGAGCCTTGCCCCTCTTTGAGGATTTTTGTTTGGTTCGGAAGTTGGGGTTTTGGAGCAGCTGGGGGTTTACACCTCAAAACTTACTTCAACAATGAGCTGAGGTCCGCCAACAGCAAGCTGAAATTCAATCGCCAATCACTCCCAATGCTGCCAATGCTTTGAGCCTTTACCTGCCTTAGTCGAAAACGCCTCGTGTCACCTCGGCCCGAAAATACAGAAAGCCCAAGGTTGGTCCACAGGGAGTTCGGGGTGGAACCGGGAGTTTGGGGATTCTGGCTGGTAACAGAGTCAAGCGAAATTGGGCTGGGGTTTGTTAAGGCCTCAGTTTAGATATGTGGATCTTTGTGGATACACCGGTTGGGGGGTCCTGCTTGTTTCTGCACTTTCTTTGCTGTCCCTCGCCAGTCTACGTGGCGCACTAACATCACTTCCATAAGGGTCGGTCGTGAAGCTTCCAAGCCGCTCGTTTTTGTTTCGGGTTCAGTACACGGGATGCCATGTGTGCTGCGACCCCCAGACACACGGGACATACGTGCCATGGAAGATGGAAGGAGATCTGATGAACGAGCAGAATCGAAAGAACATGAAGGAACCATTCGTAGCTATGGAATAGATACAGGAAGCTGTCCAACCCGTGGCACAAGCCAGATGGCATGCTTTTTTCCTGGTTTGCAGACGCATGGTTGTGAGTGTTCAGTCAAGAGTTTTTCCGAAACAGCAACGTTCGGGTCTTCTCTAAGAGAAGAAATTGGTTGAACGCGGCTCCCGAGCAGAGAGCCGGCGGGTTTGGATGGGTGGTGCCTCCCACATCTCTACGTTCATGCTGCTTGGGGTCGTCGTCGGTGCTAGTTACTTCGGCGGCTTTGCCTCCTGGCGAAAAAGCGGTGCTGAGGAGGTGACCAGCAACCCCAGCAACGCGCAGAGGCCAAGCCACGTGAGTGCAAGATGAAACTCCTCCGTAGCTTTTTCTTTGCGAGGAGCTGGAAGCAGCTGATCCGCTGGCTTGATGCACCACGGTTTGTGTCGGCTGGGGATGACATCCAGGCAGGAACCGCGGATTTGAAGCTGACCGGGGCAGTGTTGAGCATGAGCCGAGAGGTTCTGGCGTGCTACAACGACCACCAGGTCATTGATGGAGCCTTCATGTTGTGCTGTCTGCTTGAACGGAGCATCCGAGGTCAACGTGGAGGATATTTACCTCCCACGTGAAATGGTGGACAAGTACCAGGAGGCTGTTGTGGTTGTTTGTATATGTAGTCGCGATATGTCGCGATGACAGTCACGCGGTCTAGACCAAAGTTTTAGCCGAAGCATCGATACTCAGGAGCTGCTGGCAGCCCAGGCCTGCAGTGTCTTCTGACAACTCAGTCAGACTCAGTCAGACTCTTGTCCGCTGTCTTGTCCGAAGGCCGCCAAAGGCGGGAAGCAGCTTCCTCCCGCTTTGGCTTCTGGTGTGTCTGTGTCAGGGACAGTTCTTCGAATTTGTCGGAAAGCGGTAAGTGGTCAGGCGCCATGCCGGGGCATGCGACGGAGGAGGAGGAGACTGGCCATAATCATGCGAGCTTTGATGGACGACACAATGTTACTGCTTTGCTCGGGTTTGAAGGAGCTTGTAGAGGTCGACTGAGTCCCGACATGTCCCGACTTCGGGTGCAGGGTTTTAGCTCGCACACAGCTGGCACCGCAGCGTGTTGTGTTTAGAAATGATTTTAAGGGCCGGCCGTTTGGCCCTTGCCCATGTCTTGGAGGTGTTGCTCAAGGCATTGTAGGACCCAACATCTTGCCGCTAAGCCGGGGAAAATGAAGAGCTCAAAGGCATGCCAGGTCGAAGGGTGAAGCTACTGGCAAAGGAGCGAGTTGCATCTGCATTTAAAGATGTTCCGGCAGTGGGGAGTGGCAATTTCGGGTCTAGAAGAAGTTAAGTAGTGTTGCATATTTGGTCGCAACCCGAAGCGATACTGCACATTATTGCGTTTGATCTGTGCTACCCAGCGAACTTGGAAAGCGAGGGGGCAGAGGGCCCATGCCGCGTGGGGGGTCGAGTTTGGACATGAAGGGGCATTAATAAAGCTGCCCCGCTGCTGTGACGACTCATGTAGCTCAGTGGACAAAGCGCCATGGACATTGAAGACCTGCACCTTGCCTGTTTGGCACAGATCCCGGAGGGCGGAGGCCCCTGCCGGCTGGAGCTTGAAGACCTTGTAGAGTCCAAGAAGCAAGTGCGAGCTCCGCAAGCACGAGAGGATGGCTTGAAGCTTTTTGCCCGTGTCACAGAATCGGACCGGGCTCGGGCATTGCAGCGGCCGCCGCTGATCCTGTCCTGCTCCAGGCGGACAGATGTGCCCTGGGCTTTTCTGCGGCAGTACCTGAAGGCCTTCCGCGAAGGCTTCATGTACGTGCGGAGCCCCGTGACACGGCTTGTCACGATTCACACAGAAACCGACACAAGACAAGAGACAACGCCAGACCATGCTCTGGAATTTGCTGCTAGAATCTGTGCACACAGGCTGTAGCGCACACACACACACACACATCTATGCTTGTGTCCATAGTGCAGTTGTCCTCTTTGTGTGTTTTGCCAGCAAGCCCTTGCAATGGATAAGGTGACTGGGCAAATGGATCCTGTGTGTCTTGTGCCTTATGATGAGCTTACTGGCAAAGGCGTGCTGTGCATCAGCTGGTGCCTCCAAGGCAGTCGGTACGTCCGGTTTTTGTGTTTTTTTTTTTTACGCAGATACAAGGATTGACGTGCTTTAAGCACAGACGCAGCATGGTGTGGCACTCGGCTGAGGTGGTCGAAGAACTATTCAAAGTGGATCGAGGAGTTCAAAAGGGAGGACAGCATCCTCCGCAGTTACAAAGTTCACATGTTTAACTTCACCGTGAACTCCGATGATCTTGTGCTGGAGCCGGGCTTGACGGCACGTTTGCCGGAGCGGCTTCAGCAAGTCACTTGGCTGGTGCGGCGCTGAGGGCTGCTGTAGCCATCTGTACATCTGTAGCCATCGCCGTAGTCATCTGTAGCCTTGTTGCGTGCAGCTCGTTTACATCCTGGGTATGGTTGGGTGGATGCCCAGCAGTTTGCGAGCGAGTCTCTGGTTAGACGCAGCATGTGAGGCCAAGCGCTTCGGGCCTCATGCGTTGAACATTCGCTTCGACCCCATTGTCCACTATCGGCGCGTGCCGGAGCTCGGCATCCATGACAACCTGCAAGACTTTGAGCAGATCGTGTGCCACATCGGTGGTTTGGGCATTCGCCACATCACCTTCAGCTTCTGCAAAGCCTACAAGCAGTCCGTCAGGAACATGCTCTCAGCAAACGTGGAGCTGGTGGCGCTGTCGGAAGCACAGCAGCGCCAGGTATCGTGGGAGTCGCGGGTCGGTTCGTGGTTGTTCGACCTTTCTCCTCGATAGTTTCGATACGAGCGATTCTTTCTGGTAGGTGCTGGACCGCCTGCTGCCCTTGGCTGCACGGCATGGTGTGGAGCTGCGCTGCTGCTGCGACACAGGCCTCGTGGGCTACCGTGCGCAGGCAGCGCAGGCGACCGCTCCGGAGGTGCGGAAGGTGCGCCGCTGGGGCCTCAAGAAGGAGAAGAAGGAGGAGGGCGAGAAGGGCGAGAAGGGCGACAAGGAGAAGGTAGCGCGGCAACTCCTCGCTGCGCCGCTTATCCCGGAGGCTCGTGTGGGTGTCTTCTGCACGCGTCAGCTGGGTTGACGCACGAAGCTCCGGACTCTAGCCAGTTGGTTCCTGCGCGATGCAGAAATGACCAAGCCAGTTCATGTCAGAGTTCATGTCAGTTGTCAGTGCTGTTACCGGAGGTCGGGGAGTCGCGGTGCCTGGACGCACGCCTGGCAGACCGGCTGGCCCGGGATTTGGGTCTGAAAGTGACCTTTCCACACCAGAAAGACCGAGGTCAGCGGGAGCAGTGCAATTGCACAGGGAGTAGGGAGATTGGCCAGTACGAGCTGCAGTGTCCGTGCCTTAGGCAAGCAGTTGCGGCGATGTTGCTTGGTACACAGTGACCGCTAGTGCTGCTTTTGCAGCATTGTGCAACATGGTGGTTGAGGTCCACACTCTTGCCTCTACTGCTATGCCAACCCGAAGCCAGTGCAACCTGGAGCGCCTGGCGGCGGCTGAGACCTACGTTCTCACACTGTACAGCCACATAACGCCGCCCTGCGCCCCTCGTGGCAAATGAAGGCTTTCCATGTCAGGTCTCGCTGCAGTTGTGACTGCACATGCATTGAGTTAGGCAGGCCTTGGGTGTGCATGTTTCGTTTTGAGGATGCAATGTACCGGCTTGCTACATTTTGGCTTAAGACTTGGCTAGAGCCAAACTGGCAAGCTGGAACATTTCTTTTCTCCCAGGGAAGTGATCCCTGTGTCGCAATGGATGATGAGCCTACAGTCATTCACACAAATTTGCCGACCTTGGCTCCCGCGAACTGGTTGGACTTCCGGGCCTACATGTCTGATCTGGCACGTCAGGGCCGTCAGGACGAGTTGTGGTCCATCTGGAGTCGGGTTGCTGAGATTGCACACCTACCGGCACCCTCCCCTTCGATTACAGACTTTGACTTCTTGGGTTCCAAGGTTCCGGTGCGCCGGATTGTCTGTACCCAGGCTGGGTGTGATCGATGCGGGCGAGCCAGAGGTGGTTACCAATTCCCCTTCCTTGGCCCCTGGTCCAAGAGTGCAGCCATCGTGGAGGAGCCTGAGTTGGGGCCAGCGGTGGCCGTTGCCGCCTACGATCGTTGCCACGAAGTTCTTGCAGAGGACAGGATGTGGGATGCTAGCTCGGGCTTGGAGCTGCAGGATATGCTCACTGCTACATTTGGGCGCGTGCTCTATCAGGCCGAGATCAACGACCTCCACGGCGCAGCCCATCCCTCTGTGGACGATGTGTTTCGGGCTTGGCGAACCTGGCAGCAGGGGCAACAGGCCTGGCGCGATCCACTCTTACTCCCAGAGCCCACGCCCAACCAGGCACGGGCCAATGAAGTGCACAAAGCCCATCGGTCTATGCTGCTTTGGCTACGATGGGCGGCAGACCCCGCGGGCTGGTCTATGCCTGCGGTCTGTGTGGACTGCGGGGGTTCAGGGGATTTCGTGCACCAGATCTTGCAGTCAGCAATGTGCCGTGATTGCTTGCAGGCACGGGTGGCCATGCGTCACGGCCCCTGTCCGACAGTGGCTCTGGGAGTGAGAGCGACTGAGAGGAGACTTGAGTCGAGTGTGGGGATCTGGGGCGGACCTCCAATTTTGCGGTACCCACAAATGCACATGTGTTACGGGCGGGGAGTGACCCCGCAAGCACCATTTTCTTGTGAGCGGCAGGGAGTTACCCTGTTTGCGTCACTGAAGTGCTCAGGTCGTCGCTCGGAGTGGTCAGGCTGGGCGAGTTCGGCGAGGACCCTGGGGAAATTTTGCAGTCTGTGTTCAAGTTCTTTGTTTCGCTGTTCGGGAGCATCTTATGGTCTGAGGGTCCACCTGAGCTTTGGGCTTCAAGCATTGGGCTTAGGGCTGGCCTTGCTTACCATGCCGGGATCTCTCGGGGTCTATGCAGCCGAATCCTTGGCAGCAGACTCTGCGCCTGAAGCAGCATACACGGCCCTTGACGAGTATGCCACCCAGTATGCGTCTCGGTGGCGCACCCAACATGGCTACGCGAATGACACTGACTTCGCATTTGCGTTCGCTAGCTATGAGGAGGCACGCGCTACGGGAGGAACCCTGATTGCAGAAGAGTGGGCAACCATTCGATCTGAGGCATCAGGCTCTCTCTTTGGAGCAGTGGCATCTGCCTTGGATGCGCCGGTGGGTTCGAGCAACCTGGCAGCGCAGGTGGCACGGAGGCCGACTACCTTCCTCAAGAGAGTGGCGGCCAAGGGGCGATTGTTTCGTAGCCGTGCTCATCGAGATCCCCCCCCGGCCCAAAGTCAGGTCAGTCTGGCGGAGGAGTTCGCTGACGAGCTAGCAGAGGCACTGTATCAACTGGGGAAATCGCGGCCCAGTTGGAGCAGGAGTGGCGTGCAGCTCTGAGGCGTTGGGCCACGGGGAAGATCCTCGTCACAGAGCGGCCTACACTGAAGGGGGCGCTTTTCACTTTCGGCGAACTCCAGGTCCATATGTTTGAACGAGGTCGCCGCTTTCCGCCAGGAGCAGTCGATGTGGACGCCTTTCTCTTTGGTGGGACCAAAGCACAGTCGCGGGCCTTGGCCGGCCTGAAGTGGCTAGCCAAAACGGGCACCTTGGGCCTCGAGTTGGGAGGTTACGACTTCCGCCAGAACCCTCAAAAGGAGCCCAAGCAGGCGGCGGTGCTGGTGCCAACAATGGTACCTATCCTGGAGCAAGCAGTGCAGGACATGTATCAGGCCAACAACCCTCTGTGGCGTGCTCTGGTGGGGCTTTGGTGCTGCATGACGGGGTGTTTGCGGTTTGAACACTTGCGGCGGGCATCCCCTATGCGCCTCTCCAGATCGACCTTCCACTTCCACTGCAGTCGAGGGAAGCAGCGCGGCAATCGTGCAGGCTTCGACTTTGCGGTGCCGGCGGTCTTTTGCTCTGGATGGCCTTGGGCCCGTCTCTGGTTGAAGAGTTGGCAAGCCCTGCCCCAAGGTGCACAGACCTACAGCGGGTTGCCATTCGATGCTGCAGGGGCACCCTTTACCACGGCCCAAGCGATCAAGGTGGCGCAGGACATCTTCACGCCACATGTGGGAGCTGACGTTACCAGCTTAACGTCATACTCGTTTCGGCGTGCAGGGCCGACATACGCCAATTTGGCCGGATGGGCAGCTTCGGATCAACTTGCACTAGGAGATTGGCTAGACACAACCAAGCAGAAGGCTCAGGGAATCACTATGCCACTGCGTTACAGTGGAGCCAGGTATACGACGAGTGTCCGTCGTAAGCACTGGCTGGCAGGCTCCATCGGCGTGCTGACCTCCTTTGCGACATGGGATGAGATTCCAGGTGCCGAGTTGGCCAAGGCGGAGTCGACCGGGGCGGCAGTGATGGAAGTGGCTATTCAGAGGGATCTGCGTGCAGAATGGCAGAGCCCTATTCGCCTCCGGGAGACTAAGCCCCGCTTCAACGTGCCACGTACATTGCCGTTGCCTGACAGAGTCGAGTACATGATGCCAAGGCAGATCAACGGCAAGAGGGTGTCGGCTTCGCTTCGTGATGGAGCACGTCTTTGTGTCGAATATCAGAGGGGGAGGTGCAGTGGTCCTTCCCCTTGCCCGGCAGGCCAGCATCGATGCGCGATCCTGGTTCAGTCAGGTCGCGTTTGTGGTGGTTCCCATCCGGCCAAGGAATGCAGGGAGAAGCGCGCGGTGCTTGCTCCTCCATCGCCTGAGCGTGAGGGGACACGCCCCAAGGTGGCCGCGGTGGTCCAGGGGCACCTAAGGCTTCCACTGCGCAGGCGAAGGAGGAGGCTGCGGCATTGCCGCCTCATCCTAAGAAGGGGCCGCAGCGGCGCGCGCTGGCGAGTGACGCCAGCGACCTTCCGCCACTGAAGCGGCAGCGGATGGAATCCCCAGCAGTTCCTGTGAGGCCACCGCCTGAAGCCCCGCGGCGGATTCCTGCAGAGCCTGTGGGCCCGCCTCCGAGCAGACTCCTACGGCCGCGCACCCCTCCGAAAACCCCGCCGCCGTCATCTCCCAGTTCGACGAGACCTGGAGAGAAGCGCCCTGGGCAGTCAGGGGCTGACACTTGGCCTCGGAGGAGTGGGGCGAGCAATCTGGAGGTGCACTTCGATCGTCTGGCTACAGTGGGTGGCATTTCGGCGGAGCGGCCTACGAAGATCTGGGAAGGAGCGAATGGTGGTATCTTGTGGCTGGCAGGGCTGCCTACGGAGGACACAGCGTCTTCCTTTCCGCGCTGTGACATTCAGCTCAATTGGATGCAGCAGGCGGTGGCAGCACGTGGTGGCGTGGCGTTGCCGGGTGCCCTTCAACTCCAGATCAGCATCACTGATTCGACGTCTCGGGACGATCAGTGGCGCGAAGCCTGGCCAGTCATTCGCCAGACCCTCTTCACAGGAGGTAGTGTCCTGGGCCACTGCATGGCTGGCCGCCATCGAGCTGCCACTGGGCAGTCCCTCCTCTTGGCCTTGGTGGACAACATCAGCTTCGAGGAAGCCCAGAGGCGTGTCAGCCGTCTACGTGTCTACAAGGCAATGGCTCAGGGCACGGTGGCGAAGTGGGTCCGCTACACCCGGAAGAACAGCATGTCGGGCAAGGTTTGGCCATCCCCTCGAGCATTCATCTTCACGGACCGGTCCCAGATTCACTTGGAAGTGGAGCAAGGAGTGCCTCTTTGCAAGCATCGCCAAGGGTCCGTTGCTAGCCAAAGGCTCAAGGATGTGACCGAGGTTGAGTCCGTGGAGGAAGCCCAGGGCTACGATCGTCCCTTCTGCAAAGACTGCCTCCAGCGGGCAGCAGCGAAGTTCCACCCAAAGTGAGTGTGCAGAGGGGCTGTACATCAATCCCCCGGAGTTACCGGGTGGATAACATGCTGCGTTTAAGAGAGACGAATTCCACTCTCTGATAAGGCTCCGGTCGTGACCCTCGCAGGTGCTGAAACGGCATCGTTCTTAGGACTCCAGGACAAGCGCAGAGCTTGTCGTAGGGAGTGGGGCGTACCCGTCCGACATAGGTTGCCATGCAAAAGATTGTCTGGGGCGCACATGCTAGGGCCTGGGGCGGTGTAGCATGTGGTTTCGGCTGTGAGCCAGCCGTGTCTGCCATGCAACAGAGTGGCTGTTGTGAGCTAGGGCAGCCAGGCAGTGCATGCGTCCACGATAGTCTTCTTTTAATTTTCTTAAGCCCTCACACCTCCCCCCCCAGGATTGCACACTGTGTTCGATCTCGCAGGATTTCGCGCAGCTGTCAGCCCAAGGCCCGGCCGATCCTTAGTGCAGGGGTGTGGAGTGACCACGGTTTCGGCCTAGCCATGGCATCTTTTCACTTAGTGCCGAGAGCCGGCGCTGATTTTCGTGCTACACTTGTGTCGCTGCAACTCAATTTCGAATTTGCTGATGAAATCCTCGAGGCCCTGGTCAAGGCCAAGCTCAAGAACCTTGAGGAATTCCGGTACTTCTTCGAGTCGGAAGCCGAGATAGGGGTCTGGGTTCAGAGACTCAACTTGGGCGATGTCCAGGGCGTGCAAACCGCACGTTTGAGGCGCACCTGGGCTGCAGTGAAGGTTTTCTTTCAGCATGCTGACGCAGGGAGGACCAAAGTCGGCGAATCGGACTTGGACGATCTCTTGGATGATACAAGCCTGCGTGACATGAAGCAGCAATTCTGGCGCAGGTATCGTACCAGATTCCCCCCCGAGCTCTATCCTTCGGATGCAACACTCTCGCGAGTGACGCGAGAATTAAACAAGCGCCTCCTGTGCGTTTTCTCCGTATGGAAGGTCAAGAGCTTGCAGTTCCAGCTGGTTACTACCAGCAAGAAGAGACGCTTGGGGGACGGCCTGTTCACGGAGGAGACGGAGCAGGAGGAGTCAGTCCCGCGCGATTGGGAAAACTACCTCGACCGCCTCCACATCCTCTTGACAGCCTAAGCGTTGGCAGGGGTGGATCAGGTGGCGGGAGCGCCCCAGGCCAATCAGGAGCACACGCTTGGAGCGGACTCCACGATCTTTGTCCAGGCGCCACTGGACGTCCTTATGGAGTACTGAGAGGTCGGTGGTTTCGCTACCAGCACACAAGCGGCTGGACTGGCTGCAGCAGAGAGACTCCGAGGAGAGGGCAGTCTGGGTGGCCAAGTTCCGCGAGTCCACCAAGACACTCGGCCAAGTCGTGCGTGAGGTGTTCAATCTCAGAGACGCGCGCTGGATCGCCATCCAAAAGCGGAGGCCCAGGAGAATCTAGCCACAATCCCACACCGAAGATGCTGGCCGCGGCAACTACCCAGCTACCGAGCCCGCCTAAACTTTCCTCGTTCCAGCTCGGCACCCCGGTAGCGGGCAAGAAGGTGGCCAGAGTCATGAAGGATGGCAAGCGTCTGTGCGTCGAGTTCCAGCAAGGACGTTGCAACAAAGGAGCCAAGTGCCCTGATCGGCACATGTGCGGGATTGTCCTTCGAGGCGAGCGAGTCTGTGGTTCAACGAAGCATGGGGCTAAGGACTGCAAGCAGAAAGTGAAGGCCTGATGGGGCCCCGAGGGGGGGGAGGCGACCCCCTCCTCGGGGTCTAGCACGGATTCCGAGGATCCGGAATCGCCGTTGATGGCAGACATCTTTTCTGGTCCCAATGCCCCGCTCACGAAAGCTTTCCTGTTCTGTGGATGGCGCTGCCTGACGTTGGATATTCAACTGGACTCCTCGCATGATCTGGCACACCCCCTTGGGCAGCAGAGCCTCAGGGAGCAGCTCAAGGAGGCCGATTTTGTGTCCGCGGCGTTCGACTGTTCCACCAAAAGCAGAGCGAGGGAGGTGCCGAGGGTGTTCGATGATGGGCGCCGGGGCCCAGGTCCCCTCCGCTCTACTCGACAACTCGAGGGACTGGACGGCCTGTCGCCGGCGGATCAGCGCCGCGTCAAGCGTGACAACAATGCCTGTGGCTTTATGCTGCAAGTCATGCAAGAGGTGGCGGAGAGAGGAGCTGGGGCAATGCGAGAGAATCCGGTGAACAGCTTGCGTTGGCTACTTCAGCAAGAGGTGGCAGCTTTCCGCACAGGGCTCTGGGCGGATACTCATTATGATGCCTGTTGTTGGGGAGGAGCCCGATGCAAGAGGCAGCGCCTTCGTCACAACATCCCAGAGATATCCTCATGGCCCCCCCTCCAATGCCACCATGTGCATGCCAGTGACGAGTGGCAACCATATCTGCTGAATGGACGATACGTGTACCCCACCAAGGAGGAGGCGGAGTGCACTGGCTGTGCCGCGCATGCCGACGCCCTGTTGCGTGGGGCGGCGTGAGGAGTGGCCACTGATGGATCCGAGATCTTTGCGGTCATGGGCGCTGGCACCGCTTGCCATCTCTTTGGGTTTGGGGCCAGCTAGTGCCGAAGAAGCAGCTCGGATCCCGCCGAGGAAAGTCGTGGAAGCCGTCATTGGTGCCGATGGGACCCTCCCACGTAACTGCATTTACGTGGGGCCGGGCCATCACCGACATCGGCTGGCGCGCAGTAAATGGGCACCTCCCTTCACGGCGGGTCACGATTGCGCATTCGACGAGTTCCTGCCGCGCTACGTTCAACACATCAGGGATAACTTGAGCGACCACCTCACCGAGTTGATAGGGAAAGTCCTGGTGGTCGATGCCGTGGCAGAACACCCCTCGGAAGGGGATGCTTTGGCGGGCCTTGTCTTTGAGCACTTGTCGACTGTGAGATCCACATCACAGCCGCAGCAGAGCACCAACCCCAGGGGCCGAGCAAGGAAGCGGAGCCATCGCTTCCCTAGAGCGGTGGGGCTGGCCATAGCTCCGCTGGCGGATGCATCTTCCATCTTTTCCGACTTTATGCGCCAGGAAGACGTGGTCCTTGCAGTCCGCAAGCTCTTTCCGGAAGCATGGATGACCGGGTTCACCTTTCCCTGCATCGAGGACCTTATTAATGCCCCCCCGTTCGATCTTTACAGGCGCTGGCTCCGAGTGTCGGAGCTTGACTGGGCTGGTGCTTGCGGCCCGGCCACTGGTCCCTCCACCGTACGCATCCTACAGAGAGCGGCGGGGCAGCAGGCAGGAGCACTCAGTCAACGGGCAGCCTTGCCGCCGGTGATCTCGTTTGGCCTGCCAGCTGATGTACACTTCCAACAAGCGCTGGCGCGCATCCGTACACCCATGCCTACGGAACAGGCTCCCGTGCTGGACAATGACCTCCAGTTTGCCGCTGACTTCACGGCTTCGCAGCGAACGAGATTGCGGCAGTGGCGACAAGATGCAATGGGAGCCCTCAGGGAGCTGAAACGACGGTGCGCAGCTTTGGATGCTCACCTTCGAGGGTTTCAGCAACCCGCACTTCGCCGTGCGACGGCAGCGCGAGACGTGGGTCTGGTAGCTATCCTGGTGGTGCTCTTCGCGTGGCCAGATACCGCTCTCCCCTTCTCCCTCATAGCAGGTATGCCGGCAGTGGGTTTCGCGCCATGCTATGGCATCTTCCCGCAAATGCCAGCAGACCATATCTCCTACGAGGACGTGCTGGGCGACTGGCGGGCGCACAATGCAAAAATTCTGCAGTCAATTGGACCTTCCAGGGACGACGATTTCCTCTTGTCCCAGTCAACCAAAGATTTTGAGTCTGGCTTTTGCTCCCCTCCACTGACAAAGCAGGCCCTTTTGGCACAGCTCAAAGGGAAGCCCTTTCGACTCGTGCCAAGATGCGTCATCGCGCAGTCTTCCGGGAAGAAGCGTATCATTGACAATGCAGACACGGGAGGCCAGTCGGCCTCGTCTCGGGAATCCAACGAGCTTGTGCTCTGCAGCGCGCTGCGACCAGCGCAGCATGCCCAGGCCGTCATTGCCAGGCTGCCCCAGGGTGAGCTGGAGCGGGCTAGGGAGAGTGACTCCCTTGAGTCCGGAGGCGAAGACTGGCCGGATGCTTACAGACATTGCCCTATGTCAGAAGAGGAGGCGTTGTGCTGCCTGGTGGTGTGGTGGCTCCGAGAATGGCAGGCTCCGGCATTCCAGATCTACTCCGGCCTCCTTTTCGGCCTGCCTCTTGCAGTCACGTCATTCAATCGGTACAGCAGATTCAGTGAAGCTGCGTCACGTAGAGTGGCGCTCACAGTGACCTCTTCCTACTTTGATGACTTCAATATGGTGGATTGGTCCTCCTCCAAAGGAAGCGGACAATGGGCAGTCGGAGAGCTCAACAAGTGTCTGGGAACGCCGTTTGCCGAAGAGAAGAGGCAACCCATGGCAGTTCAAGGATCCTTCTTGGGCTTGGACCACGACCTTTCCGAAGCCTTGCAGAGGGGGTTCGTCACCTTTTGGGCGAGAGAACGCCTGTTCACCAAAATGTCCGACCTCATCGAGCAATCCGAGACTGCGTCTTCGCTCAAGGCCGGGCTTGCTGCGAAGATGTTTGGCCTGATGAACTTCTTGGAGCAGGGCGTGTGTGGAAGAGTCGGATGCGGTGGCCTCGCTGCTCTGTGTGACAGGCAGCGCAGCAAAGAATCCGACCTCTCGCCGGACATCCTCCAGACGTTTCAGCTTATTCGCGCACTCCTAAAATTTCGTCCTGAGAGGCGCTTTTGGGTGTCCAACCCACCAGTGCAACGCTTCATAGCTGCGAGTGACGCAGCAGAGGAGAAGCCTCAAGCCGGAACCGGAGGTTTCCTCTTGATTTGGCAGCAAGGTGCGAGCCAGGTCCGAGAGGGTTTTGTCGCGGCATGTCCGGAGGAGCTTTATGCCCTTTGGGGACCGGGCGACAAGAAAATTGCACAGCTGGAGCTCAGCATGGTGCTTTTCGCTCTGGTGGCTCGGCCTGCAAGATTTCGCATGAGGCGCGGAATCTGGTACATCGACAACACTGCGGCATTGATGGCCCTCATCCGCGGGAGGTCCGACAACTCTGATTTGTCCCGCCTGGCGCAGTTGATACATTTGTGTCTCTTTGTCTTTCAAACCTGGATATATTGGGAATGGGTGCCGTCCAAATCCAATTGGAGCGACGCCATTAATGTCGTATCCTGATTAGTCTGGACCCCCTCAATAATGAAAAGTTTTCCAAAAACTATTCAGGAGACCCAATTTGGATTGCCCCCCCACAATAAAGTAAAGTTTTTCGGGCATGGGTTTCGGAACAGAGAAAAAAAGAGAAGAAGATGATGAAAGAAAAGAGCAAAAGAAGAGCAGCTTCAAGTCGGAGTTCTGAGCTGTCATCCCCAACCTGAGCTGAGCCTTCAAGCTTCCCGGGTTCAGGGTCTACGACCAGGCCGGAAAACAAGGATTCCTTATGACTTCGCTTATCTGAGGAGGCCTAGCCATCAAATTTTGAAGGGGGTAGTCCACGTGCTGCCCCGAAGCCCATTAAAAAAAAAAATTGCACCCCCACAATAATGTCAAGGTTTTCGGGGGGAGGGGGGGGGGGCGGGCCTTCAAGCTTCCCGGGTTCAGGGTCGACGACCAGGCCGGAAAACAAGGATTCCTTATGACTTCGCTTATCTGAGGAGGCCTAGCCATCAAATTTTGAAGGGGGTAGTCCACGTTCTGCCCCGAACCCCATTTAAAAAAAAAAATTGCACCCCCACAATAATGTCAAGGTTGTCGGGGGTACTGAGCTTACCTGAGCTTACCTGAGCTTTCCTGAGCTTACCTGAGCTGAGCTCACATCTGAGCTTACCTGAGCTTAATTATGTAAGAGGAGAGGGAAAGGAAGAGGAGAGGAAGAGGAGAGGGAAGAGGAGCGGAGAGGAAATGAAGAGGAGCCGGTGGGGGGGGGGGGGGGCCGGGGCCGAAAATTAGTTTGGGGGGGTCCCTTTTTTTTAACACTATTACGGGGGTGGATTTAGTTTGGGGGGGGGGAGGGGGGGGGGGGGGGGGCCCTCACACTAATCAGGATACCACATTAGCAGGCTGGGAGTCGACGACGAATGGCATCAGTCGCACTCCTTCTCCACTAGTTTAGCTTTCTTCCCATTTCAGCTCTGGGCGTTACCGCTGGAAGCGGAATGAAGTTTCATTTGCTTCTGCGTCAGCAGGTTATCGGATGTCTTGGGCCCTGTGGCCTGTCACGACCCTCGGCCTGTCCTGAACGCACTGAGTCGCACCGTCACAAGCTGCAATTTTCCACACTCTCCCACCATACATTGCAACACGGGCTCCACGGTACCCAGCCACGCACTGAGTGCACACACATGCACACACAACACCCACCCTGCACCCCCATTTACCTCAACTTTCGTTGCGATTCCTGCTTGTTTGGCCCTCGAGTGCACCATATTCAATGTGTGTCGTCATAAGCGAGTCAAAGAGAAGCAAGCATCCACTGTCGTGTTTCAGCATCGTCGCTTTGAGAGGCGTTTTCAGGGTACAAGAGGCCATGACAATCGGAGTCGGCGATTGCCTTGTGTTTGAGTATACATTGTAGACATGCGGGCATGATCTAAGCACTCCAAATCAGTCAGCATCAGCAATAGCTCCCACGTTGTGGATGAGACTTTCTTCGTTGACTATGTTGTGACTGCACTCGGGCTCAAAGCTTCAGCAAAATCAAGATCGCTTGGCTCCAGCAGTAGTTGCCATCGGAGATGCTGCTGGTAGATTGTTGCAGATAGATGCACTGCTTACGCTTTTGACGCAAGGTATTCCAAACCTCGGTTTGCACGCGGGATTATGTTCATGGAGACATCAGCTTGTTGTGATCATCTGCCCATACCTCGGCAGCGGGCGTCTGCTCAGTCGCTTTGTGTGCGTAAGGCAACATCTCTTGCAAGTGTGCCTTCTTCAAGGGAAGATTTGGCAGGTGCATCGATGACCGATCAGGAACAGCCTTTGAAGCCAGCCAGGCTGGCTTTCGTGAGAACTTGTTGATCTCGTACATATGCTTTAGTTTGCTTATTGAAAGGCTGTTCACCAATACAATGATGAGAGTTACGGTGTCATGCTCTTGTCAGCTTGATTCCATTTTGCATCCACCGCATCTCGATTCCGAAGGTACGGCGTTGCTGTGCCACAATCTCAGACTTAATGCCTTGCAGTGTCTTGCAGAAAGATATTTCAGCATTCCAGACACAAGGTCATGGGATTTGGCAGGGAAAGCCGTGGATTTAGATCTGCAGGCGACAAAATGAGATACATTGAATGCGTGTGGTTTTTCATTCATGCAGGCTGTCGTCGTTGATGATCGAGGATGTATTGTCGATGCAGTGTACTACAACAACATGAAGGCTGGTTGATAGTTTTCCCCCAGTACGTATGCGTGTGCGTGCTGATTCAGCAGGCAGCTCTGTGTTGGTTATGCTGTTGATGCGTTAGCCTGCCTTGTGAGAAATGATGTCTCAGGCAATAAAAGGGTGCATCACGCACTCCGGCGATGAACAATCCGGTCAGAAGGCGTGCTCGGTATGTCTGCGGGCCACAACTTCTTTGAGGCTACCTTGATTTTTATCTGAGAGGACGGCCTCGACGAGATTATCTGGGTGAATCTGCCCAAACTGCCTGACAACATAAGGCATTTCCGTTCAACATGTTCTTGGCATTTGCACCTTCGACATGTCTGAATGCTCTTGAGTGTTCATGCGTGGGTTGATGCGGGTTGGTGCAGGTTGCTGATCTTCGTAGTTGCCGCGTTTAGCGGCGGCAGCTTGCGTGATGCGCGGTTCTCGTCTACCATCGTGACAGAGTCTTTGTCTGCGATGTGTCAGTCAAGCCTCGGATGCAGTGATGTGTCATTGCAACGAGCGCTCAGAAACGGTCAATGTGGCCAGAGGTTTGCTTGCTCACGGCTGTTGCTTGTTGACCACTCGAAGGCGCAGAACGGGAAGCTACATGTTCTGGAAGGAAACAAAGACTCCGAGGCTGTGGAAGGGCGCAACCCGAAGTACGGCACGTTACCAGACATCCTTGTGTGCGTTCTTCGATTGTCGTTCACCATTGTACAGCTATTGGATTGCACATATTCGCAGTCTACCTAAATTCAGTGAGAAAGGTAAGCCTTGACAGCTGAGCCTCGATACCGGAAAGCGCAGGTGGCTCGATTTCCGCTGGAACAAAGCATCCACGAAGTAGATGCAGTTGCATCCATCCTCCGAAAGGACCGAGCTTGTCAGTAGCAACAGCGAAGGCTTGGCTACTACTCCACGCACATTGATTGGTATGAGCGAGATGGTTGAAGAGATGTGACGAGTATAGGATTCGAGAAGCAGAGCGCGAATGCAAGAGTTGCAAAGAACGCATCAGGACAGCGGATGGCAATTGCAGATAATCGATGAGCCCGCGAGAGAAGGAGCATCTCATCGAATGTGAAGAAGGATCGAACTCTCAACTTCTCAACTCTCAATTGCCATGTGCGAGGCCGACACTTCATTGACATACTCGAACCGGTTCTGGGGAGCCTCGTCTCGCATCTCTTTCGTTGTCGTGTTTTTTACAAGCAGGCGCCTCAAGCTTCTCAGTGCAGGAACATCATTCGTGGTGCCATTCCGGGTGCTCCCAAGCGTCAAAAAGTGCCCATGGCTTTTTCCATTCGCTTTGTTGTGAGACTTGTGTATTATGCAAAAAGCAGAAGAGAAAGGCTGCAATGCCAGGTTGCTTTCGCCATGGAGAAGGCATCTGTGGTTGACTTGCCGGGTCCTGTGAAACACGCGAAACACCCCTGTTCACTGCCTGTTCACTGCTTGTTCACGGTATCACTCCTTTTCTGTCAGCTCATACTTTTCTGCCAGAGGCCGCAGGCTGCATCCTGCGGAGCAGTGCAAGCATGCTTAGGCCGGCCTTTGCCGCAAGAGCAGCTCAGCTGTGCGCAAAATCGTCCAACTTGTATATTGCCAGGGTGGGACGTATGTCCAGATGCGGGTGTCGACGTTGATCTGGACGTACCTGCCCCAAGTCAAACCCGAGCCGACGAGCATTTCTTCACTGTGGTCGTCACGGGGTGCAAAGGTGTCTGCAGTTGTTGTTGGCAGTGACGGATGTGTGCGGCTCCAAGCATTCCAAAGCAAATGAAAGAAGTATCCAGTGAATGCATACCGAAGCTCTTCTTCAGTTCCACTTCGAAGAGCAGTTTTTTGTGGTTCAGTGACGTATTGTAGACTCGTAGACCACATAAAGTTGAGACTCAAAGAGAAGTCCTCACTGAAGGTCAAAGGTGCCGTTTTCTTCGGTGAGCTGCAGGCCACCGGACTCTTACTCGGCATGTCAGAGCTTTGCAAGTCTCTGAACTCAGCTACCTGAACGCCAGAGGGTTGGGCTTTGACGCACAGCGGAGACAACCTCACTGGAGAGGCGAGGCTAGGGCCAGGGGACCTAAACTCAAGTGTAAGGAACGGTCCGCATACCGCCGATGCTGCTTGAAAGCCATTTCTCAGGGCGATGGAGACGACGAGGCCTAACGATTCTTATGCTTCAATTTGGGTCCCTGCTTCCTTGACGAGATGTTCACGAGATCTCACGAGTTTGCAGGTCATCACTGCCAATCTTCAAGACATCCCTGCTCAGCTTGCATGTTGAGAACTGCTGAGGCAGATTGGCACGTGTGGTGCTCGTTGAGATAGGGGTCAGAGGGTGAGTGCAAATAGTTCTCAAATGCCAGGTCGACATTCACCAGATCGTTTTCATAGTCAATGCTGCTTTCTAAGTAATCACATCTTTGCCTTCAGCTGCCTGCCGATCGGCCACCGAGCGTGCCAACCCTGTACCGCAGTTGAGGTTTACACGCGCGGTGTGACCTTTGAGAAGGTGTCTAATGCGTATTGCCTCAGCCCCAAGAATGCAAAAGATGATGCAGTAACAGCCCTGGACCTGCTCTGGGACCCTGTAAAGAACCCTTTGAAATCTAGAGCTGACCGATGCAGTTGACCTTTGATACCATAGCTATCATTGGGCAACGCTCGTTGAGACAACGCCGAACGTTGAACAAGCAGCGGAGTTGCCTCATGCATGCCCAGGCCGCATCTTGGACTCATCCGGTGAGGAGATGGCACGCTATGTGCTCGTCTCAGATGTTCTGAGACATAAGTGGAGGGCTTCAGGGGCGGGTGTGTACATGCGGGGGGGGGGGGGGGGCTTGTGATGCATGTGTGCATGTTGCAGGTGATCACAAGAATCTGTTAAAAGTTCTCAATCACTAGTAGCCTCGCTGGAGACGGCTCAGGTGTTGCGGGAGGGTCGTGGTGAGCGAGGGCTGATCATGGCCAGACTGTTCAGGGAGCCTGCATCTTAACTTACAGAACAGCCTTTCGATGTGTCGATAGCCCTCAGAAATGACAATCCTCCAGGAATGGAGCGGGCGAGCGGTGGGGCTTCCAGGCACGACACTGCAGCACGAGATCAAGATTTCGTTGCTAAGTACCCTCCCCAAACGATTTCAAAGCGCAGCCAAGTGACGCCTGGACCCTGCTCTGGCCCTAGCTTGTGTTGTAAGCTTCGTGCTGCTTCACATCAGATCGCTTCATTTGTGGAGCGACGGACAGCATCAAAGTCAAGCAGCTCTAGCGCAGGTGGTGCTTCTTGATGAAGATGCTTTTTGCATAATTGTGCATTGTTGAATATGAGCGGACCGCAGGGGCTGAACAGAAAGTGTGAGAGTGCACGCCACAGCGGAGAGTTATGATTTTGATCCCAATGTTTTGCATTGTTGTCTGTGCCGAGCCGGCAGCCTGCCCATGACACTTTCGATTTGGTCATCAAACTCAGCAGAGCATTCTGCAGCACCAGCAGAACTGAGTTTCATGTCTTCAGCCGAGGAAAACAGCTAGTTAAGTTGGGGATGTTTGGCCACCGGCATGCTGATAACTGCACCTTGTCTCAGGCGCTGGGCAGCTTCTGTCGGGGTCAAACGTGGAAAGATTCGGCCTCCAGCCTACCTTCAGGAGCTGGGTTAATGGTTAACGTCCTTTTGATCGTCCTTGTAGCATGACTGACATAGACGTGAATCTCCAAGGTCCCTGAAATCCAAGCACTTGCCAAAAAGAGCGCACGCGAGCAGGGGCCTCAACAGGCAGCAAAGAGTGTAGACTCGGTGTGGAGTACTGTGTAGCGGGGCTTCGGTCATGTGCCTTGCCACTGCCTCGCCACAATCCCTGAGGCTGCAGATGCGTTCTGGCACCATGAGCTTCGCGCAGGACTTGTGCAGAAGCCTGCAGAACATATCAAAACCTGGTTGAGGTCACATGCGGTCACCAGCACCCACCCTTTAACAGGGTGCCCGGACCAAGAAACCAACAACTCAGACCCCCAAAGCTCTCAAAACAGCAGCCCTTCGCTACGATCCGCCACGCATTCGGGATAACACACATGCATCTGCAACTGTCTGCAACGCTTGCATCTTCAAATATTTGTGACACCCAGGAGTCGAGCAGTGAGGCCGCCATTTTCGCAAGTCCGATTCAAGAGGCCTGGGGGGGCATGTCACAGAAGCGTTTTTATCCAATTTCAAGCGAGATGGTTGCATGACGTTACATGGTTGCATGATCGGATGCTGTTCCAGGAAAGTTCGCCAAAGTCTGGAGCTTGCCATGTTCAGTTCCCAGATTTTTCTGGCAGTTCCTGTTGCCGGGTCCATCTGCGGCACTTGCGAGATCAGGTCATGTAGCCTCAGGTTGCAGCCTCGGCCTGTGCAGTGGTTCTCTTGCGGAAATGGCCTGGACATCTCCCGCTGATGCTTTGAGATTTAGCTCTCTGACCGGCGTCCTTGTACAGAAAGCCTCAGAGGGTCGCGATATGTCACAATGGATCAAAGTGGGGGCAGGGCCGAGCCCTGTCTTGACGGATCTACTTCAGACACTTTAGACGGACTGCACAGCCGTCCGGCCAAGGGAGTTCTTCGGCCGCAAACTGATTGGATTGGGCATGTCCAGATTCATCGCAGTATCGTTGGATTGGGCGCCGTCATGCGCCGTCAGCGCATCTCCAACCGCTCATCGAACTTATCGGCTCAGCGAAGGCGAAGACCTTTGTGCTTGATTTGTAGTCTTGATTTTGTAGTGTTCATTTCCGTTCATTTTCGAGCGTGGGCGTTCCGCCTGAAGCGAGGAGGAGTGCAGCAGTGCATTGAAGTTTTGTGTAGTGGCTTGACTTGTGCAGTGCCCTACACTTGTTTGCCCTGAGCCGCCACTTGTTTCGTACTGCTTCATACCCAGTCTCAGGACCACGTAAGCTCTCCTCTCACAAGCTTCAGGGCGTTTCGAGTGTTTGGCGCCTACTGCTCTTGTTGCGGGTTTGTGTTGTTGGTGGATGTTGGTGGCATCTCTTTGGTAAACCCATGGCATGAGCAGGCGGGCTGAAGTCGCGCGCCGCGAGATGTCAGCGTGACCCGGCTTCCAAGCAAGGACCTGTGCTTGTTGTGTGGCATTCGCATTCATCGCCAGCTTTTTGTTCTCTGGACACCTCGTTCTTCACAGACATGTCTTATTGTTTTTAACTTTTCTGGTTGCCCATCCATCTTCTCCTTGTGGACATTTCGCATTTTTCCCCGTGGACATTTCACCATTTTCGCGGACGTTTCATCAATTTTATTTTGGCCGTGGGATTTCGTTTTCATGTCTCAGACGTCCTACAAACTGCGAGACCATGCAACGTTGCTAGTTTGTCTAGTGCTGTGGATCAGGTACACCAAAGGGGAGTATGAACAGCTGGAAACAGCGGTCTCTGGCAGAGGCCTTGGGAGATCAGTGTTGTGGCCATTGCCTGCCCTCATGGTACGTGCACGTCGACGAGTCCTCGCCCCACCGTTCATGAAAGCATTGTGGGCGCACAGTTTCAGAGAGTCTCAGTGAATTCAGTGCCATGGCTGGGCTGCAGTATTTTGTGTAGAGGTTTTTTCACAAGTTCAGCTGCTCGCCTGGATAGGTGTTGATTCACCAGACATCCCAATGCGGCGCTTATACGAAGTCTGCATGGTCTTGCTGGCTTCTTTGGCAGTCTCATTGGTGGCATGCGCGTGTGTTTGTGTGTGTGGGTGGGTGCAGATGGCAGGTGTTCCAGCACAAAACCCACAAAGGAGTCCAGCATCTCTGCTGCATACTATGAACTAACAGCCTCATCTCTCGGTGACATTCCGAGGGGGAGATGTGAGCGTGCCGTGATTTCTGGGGGTTCTTCTCTGCATGCGGTCTGGTTTGCTTGGAGCGCCTGGCCACGCTACTGCCTGGTGATCATGAGTCCTCTCTCTTCCTGCGCGCACAGGTTTGACGAGCAGGAAAGCGAGTTCTACAATGTTAGGGTGCGCCAGAACTCCAATATCTTGAAACATGAGATGTACACTCTTGCGATCAATAAGACGTGTATCGAAGTTGGCAATGTGTCGCGTTTTGGCAGGCGCTTCCACCTGCTGGAGAGGAGGATCAAACCAAGATGCAGGTGGCGCCCCTCCGTGTCACTGGTTTTTCTTTGCTTGACTTGCGGCGTAAGCCATTGTTGCCCAGCTACTGCCGCATGTTTCGCCTTTGCATAGACGATGAGCATAGCAAGCCACTAGAAGTCCTGATGCCTAGTGGAATCGGGATCCTTTTTGCGTCCTTTGCTTTGCCTGTGTCACTATGGAGGGTTAGAACTTTGGCCGTGCCGCTGCGCGCCGCAGTGTCAAAGGGGGGAACATGAGAGCGCAGGAAAGAGGAACAGGAAAGCACGCAAATGCTGATACGGGAGGTTCGCAATACCACGCAAGCAGACCTGTAAGCCTCTTGATATGAGCAGCGCATTGGCTCGTGCTTCGAATCATGTCCAGCATGACTCATGCCGAACAAATAAACAGTGTAAGCTCGAAGAACATGTGCGTGAGTGTGCCACGCCTTTCGCCCACGAACGAGGTCTGCAACTAAGATTGCATCAGTTAGGCTGTCAGTGTGATTCCTGCGGCTGGAGGACTGAAGTGACTTGAAACTTGCACAAGGCAAAAAAGGGCGCGATTGAGCTCTTCCAGCTGCGCCACAAAGGCAGAACAGGGTCCCTGACTTCGGCAAACAGCAGGTAAGACTGACCGAGCCAGGATGCAGCAGCCATCGCGCGACCTGTGGCAGAAGCTTCCGGGTTATACTTCAGATGAGGTGCCAGAGCCGCCACTGGATTTGAGGGCTACAGGAACTCACCATTTTCTGCCCGTGCCCATTCCCCATGCGAAGGAAGAGGACACCAGCAGCGAGCGAAGCGGGCGAAGCGAGCCGACGGCTTCGCAGCTTGAGGGCCGGCTCACGGAGGCCACAATACGGACATGGACGGACATGGACGGTGCAGACATCAGACTGTTCTTGATGGGTGTCTTGCAATGCGTCAGCTACGTCGGTTGTTGTGTCCTTTGCCTTTTGCCAAATTGGACATGCGGTTGGCGTCCAAGAACCCTTGGCGCTGAACCAAAAAATGAAGGCATGTTCGACGAACCCCACAAGGTCCACGCAAGAGCACGCTCCCCCCCCCCGCCAAGGTCCGAGCAAGGTCTTGAAAATCATGTGTTGCAAAACTACGCCATGACTTAACACCACGGAAAGCAAGAATGAAGAATGTGCACGGGACTGAGCACCTTGGTGGGTGTAGGGATTGGGAAGACTGCGTTTCAGGTGCTGTCTTCGATGTCCTCCCGTGGCATGGATCGCCCCATGATTCAGCCGAAGTCTCACACGTGCTGAGCAAGGGAGATCATGAGCGCAGGGCGATGACTTCGCCCATGTGCCGAGGTTTCGGCCTGTACCGCCTCCGGGCAGCAAGGCTTCCTCTCAGCCGGGACCCGAGTTGATGTGGGCCATCTCGGGCTCATTTCAGGGCCAGGGTCCCAAACGATTTTGTGATGGGGACTTTTTGAATCTTTTTGAGTCACTTGAGGACCGCAGGCAAGAGTCGCTCATCTACCTTGCCAGCATTCCTTCTAAATGGAGCGGATGCACCTCTCCTGCAAGAGACATTCGCCTACAACGGGATGACCCAAACCATTGGAAATGACTATGCGATTCAGTGGTCTGGTCCAAATATAAAGGATGCAGTGTACCAGAACATGACGGAATGGCAGAGGATCAACCACTTCCCGGGCTCAACGGAGCTGACCCGAAAGGATCGACTCTGGCTTCACTTTGCAGAGATGGCTAGAAGCTATGGCAAACGTTGTTTCGACTTCGTGCCAGAGACCTATGTCTTGCCAGAACAGTTTGATGAGTTTCTGAAATGCTATCAAAGGACACGATGCACATGGATTGTAAAGCCGAACTCATCATCGCGAGGTCGAGGTATATTCATTCTGCAGGATCTTGCCGAGCTTCCTATAGACGAGAATGTCGTGGTTTCCCGGTACGTCATGAACCCACTTCTGATTCAAGATCTCAAGTTTGACTTGCGCGTGTATGTATTGGTAACTTCCTTCGACCCGTTGAAGGCCTTCATCTACCGTGAAGGTCTAACCCGCTTTGCTTCGGCGCCTTACAGCACAGAGCCGGAACACATGCAGGATGCATTCCGTCACTTGACGAACTACTCGATCAACAAGAACTCCTGTACTTTCGTAGAGAATAGCGACCTTCGATGTGACAACGTTGGCCACAAGTGGAGCTTATCCGCGTTGAACAAGCACCTGCGCTGTGTTGGAGTGGATGTTGATCTCATGTGGACTCGGATCATGGATTTGATTGTGAAAACCTTGCTGTCAGTGGAGCCTGCCATTAGCGCCAGGACGAGGCAAGTGTCGGCAGGAAGGGAGAACTGCTTCGAGCTTTACGGCTTCGACGTGTTGGTAGATGACGAACTGAAGCCATGGCTCCTAGAAGTAAACCTTAGTCCAAGCATGCAGGCGGATTCGCCATTGGACTGGCAAATCAAAAGCTCCCTGCTGGCTGACACCTTCAATATAGTGGGAGTTTGCTCGTCGGAACGTACCAGCCCGAAAGTGGAGCGGGCACGCAATCTGTATACGCAACCCTGGAAGCAGGTACCCAAAGATGCCAAAGGTGAATGCATGCAAGAGGACATTCCGGTGGACGAGAATCTTCCTCCGGTTGTGCTGAATGCGCTGCCCGACTCGGCGCTCAGAATGATCGCCAAGTCCATCGGCGAGCGTGCGCGGTGTCACAATTTCGTTCCCCTTTATCCAACTCGTGCAGCCGTGAAGCGTTATGGTGTCATCACAGAGGCCCGTACGCAGTCAGGCACGCAGTCAGGAAGTTTGTGTCGCAGCCCGATCTTCCCCACTCCCATTCTGCCCAGTCTCTCACTCTCCCAGATTTGGGCTTCCATTTTGTATGGGCCTCCTCCGCTGCGCTCAGCCACCCAGATCAGACCCGACTCACTGGAATCTGGGTCTGAAGACAAGGAAGCTCCGAGATTGCCAGAAGGCTTTCAGCCCATTCAGCCAATTCCGCCCTCTGAGCCACAGCGAGCTGTGTCAGATCTGGAGAGCCTTCTTGGACCGACTGGAACACCGTCTTGGAAGGACACATGTTCTGGGCTTTCTGGCTTGGAGAGTTGTGGCAGTTGCAGGTTGCGACGCAAGCGCGAAAACTTCATGGGCTAATGCCAGAGGTTTCTGGAGAGATATCCAGCAGTTGAAGAGGGGGTTTTGGCTTTTTGTTTCTCAGGAGACGTGGCCAGGACCTGCTGCGCCTGCGCAGTTGCCGGCCAGTGTGGCAGACCCTGGAAGCAGCCTGGAGGACCGAGAGGCCGAAGGGGCACAGCCTCAGAGAAAGATTCCCTTGAATACCCTGATGCTGTACTTCAGCATGCAGTAGAGTTTTGCAGGCTTCTGAGCAGTTGCAATGGTGTGTCCCTTGGCAGTATGCTCTGATGGCCGCCCGCCGCACTCTACGAGCCCTTTCAGGACATATCTCCAAGCTAAGTCTCAGAAGAGTTCCCGAGGCTCTTGCATGTGCCACAGATACAGCAGGAAAGTCGTGTCGACCAAGTGGCAAGGTGGGAGGCCTACGCGGCCCTAATTTGCCCTGCGCATGCCATCCTCAGCATGAAAGGCTTATCCCAAGGACTTGAGCCCTTCTTGAGCATGCTTGAACCCTTCTTGAGCCCTTCTTGAGCCCTTCTCTGGTTCCAAAGGCTGATCAGGCCGCGGGAGTCGCTTCCTCTTCAATGAACATGGCATCATGCCGAGCACTTGGGCATGGCCTTGCCTTGGCTTGTTTCAAATGCAGTTTCCAAAAATGAGAACACCAATGTGCACACACGGTCCCCATAGGTCTCTTGCTTATGGAGTACCTCATGCGCATGGAGGTTGCGAGTGGCTGGAGACAAGAGACATACAGAGACATACACTTGCTATCACGTATCCTTCGCCAAAGACATACTCTTCCCACCCTCCGAGCTGATGTTGTTGTGGTTGCTGTGTCAGGTGGCGTGCGATAATCTGGGACCAGCTGCTCGTGCACGGTTGGTGCGCACCTTTGAACTATGGAGCCATAAACAGGCTGCATGCTCCACTTTTTGGAGCAAAAGGGCCGATGACAGACTGGTCCCTGGCCATAGAAACTTTGAGGCTCGGAGCGCTTCGTATGCGCGTTTGTCCAGCTTTCACCAGCAGCTTCCTGGAGCATCTGGACAGAGGGCCTGCACCTGAGGCTTTGCTGAATAATGACACTGCTTGTTTTGATGTGGGATGCTCCCGATTTACCTAGTGTAGAAAAGCTTGTGAATGAGGCTAAAGACATTGCAGAAGCTTCGCCCAACAGCCAACAGGCTGTCAGAAAGATGTGCATCGTACCAAGTCGAAAGGTGATATCCTTCGGCGGTCTCGTGTGTATCATCTGTGGCCAGGCCAGCGAGGGCAGTCTAATTGAGGATCTCGGGACTGCATGTGGGGGCCCAAGCGGATTGGGATAACCGGGATTAAATTGGGGAATTCTGGCTAGGCCTAGCGGCCTAGTGCAGTGCCTCTTCTTCAGGCCGACACAGCCTCGATGTCTTGGAAACGGCCGCGTGGCAAGAGGCCGTGGGGCCGTGGAGCTTGAGTTTCCCACCCAAGGGTGCTCTGCTCTGCTGCTGCGAGGTTGATCGTGCCCGGTCCCTGGAGAGCTAAACTGTCAATGTTGATGCTGTAGTTGTGGCACATCTACGATGCATTCCATATAGTATCTATCGCTGCCACAGCATCTAGAATTCTAGAATGTCGTCAGGACATGGACTCGCTCGGTGACGAGCCAGACTGCAAGCCTCGTGAGAACCTCCCAAGTGAGAGTCCAAGGCTTTCACCGTTGTGTGGGTTAGGTAATGTTAGGTTGCTCATTGCTCGCCCGAGATCAGAAATGTGGTGCCGAATCATCAGATGAGTGTCAGCCACAAGGTAATCGTTCCAGGATGCTGACCAAACGCAGGAAGCTCAACATAGCTCCGAGCAGAGTCTTTGTAGTGTCCAAACTTTCACTAAGATTTGCATAGTTACCAAGGCCTACCAAAAGCTTTCGTGCACAGCAAGGAGTGCAAGAAGCTGCTCAAGGTCTCAGCTAATGACGACTAGGCCTTTGCTTTTGCTGTCGCCGTGCCTGCCGGACGAGCAGGTTTTGCCAGAACTTCGCGCGGCTGACTTGGAAAGTCTGCTGCACTGAGCCCAGCTGGTGATTCAACGTGATTCAATCAGTGCAAACTTCCAATCTCTTGCGACAATAGCCGTCGAAGACGGAAGATGATCAGGAGCGGGCCTGTGGCTGGCAGTTGCCATTCAAGCAATGAGGACATTTGCTCCCTGCTCTGGCCTCAGTATATCTGAGTCTTTGTGAGTGTGGTTTTCCAGGGTAGAACCTTTCAATCTTTTCTATTCCAGGTCGCTCTAAGATGTTGTAAGACCCCAGATTAGTTCATTGTTTTTTCCAGGGCTTGTCCTCGCTCTTGCAAGCTTGCAAGGCTGGAGTGCTTCAAGGTGTCCGATGCGCCGGAGGTTGGGCAAGTGCCAGTACAATGATATACAATGCTGAGAAAGAGAAGTCGCAGTCAGCAATGCGAATGCAGCCGAATGCAACAGCCAGGTTCAGGAGGGAGGGGACCTCCACCGGTGCCTCATCTCCTGATTGGTAAATGCATGGCAAATGCTGGCTGGAAGCGACTGGTGTCTTCAACATGGACTGCTTGTACTGGCAGGTCGACCTCGCAACCTGGTAGTGCTGGCCCCAGTTATATCTGAGAGTCAGGGCGGAGTGCATGTTGCGGGAGATGGTGCTGCTGCACGAGGTCTTTGGCATGCATCTTCATCGGCAAATCTGTGTTTGCCTTATGCCAAATCAGGATGTCAAGGTACGACATTCGTGTGCATGTCCATCTGGAACCGGAGCCGGTGGATGTGCATGAAATTTGGGACTTGGGCTCGGTTGCAATGGGTACCGGGGCGACAAAGCACCATCGCATGACAATTGTGGCGGTTCTCTCGTGCTCTTTCGCAGCTTGGAGTGCCACACCCCAGCTTGCGTTTCAATCTGATCTTCTTCGATCTCGGTGTGCGCAAGCATTGCTTAGAGGCGGGGAAGTGGTCAACGACTTTGAAAATTGGTCCAGCACATAGTGGACGGCGGTGCGCTCTGAGCGAGCAGCTGTGCGCAGCTGTGCGCAGCAGGCGACTCACTTGGGACACGTGGGACACTCGGGAGAATCTTTTTGACCACGCCTTCCGCAGAAAGAACGTGCAACCCCTCGCAGATACAGCAAGCCAATTCGAACAATGAAAGTCGAGAACAACTCGGCATTTACAATGTTCTTGTCGCTCAAGCCGCCGATGCTCATGGTGCGGTTGTCCGGCAGTACATGCCCCGGACAGCCACACCATTAGAAATCATGGGGCCGTGTCTGTGGGGGCATTTTAGGCATTTTGTAGGTTCCAGCCTCATCGGTAGTTCGGATTTGGTGGAGCTGTCCTTCCTTGTCAGAATTCAGTTTACCACCTGGGAACACATGCCCTGGCATACTCCAAGGATGCGAACGAGATCTCATGTCTTGCCGATGATTGGAACAGAGCTGCGACCCCAGAATGACCAAAGCATGGCATGTGTAAACGTGCAAGTGCTGCGCAGGCCCAGCGGATGTCAAAAAGGCAAATGTCAGAGCCTTCCACTTTTGTGTTTGGGGATTGAGATTGGTCCAGATGAATCTTCTCAGGTGAGGGAATCTGCGGACCATTGTCGGAGATCCTTGCCGCGGTAACTTTCTTAGAGCAAGGTCCCCATTCGACAATGTCTCAGCATGTTTCTACCGCCTTAGGCTGCAGTGGCGCACGCCGAGTCACGATCTCAGTGGCTTCGTGGCTTGGCTGAGCAAGGCAGAGCCAGACTGAACTCGTCGGGATTGAGGACAAGCCGGCCTTGTCGGCGACCTCACGTTCCCGGTCGAAGAAGTCCTCCTAAACACCGAGGCGGCGAGCGTGTTGGGCATCGTTGTCCTTGGATCACCGCAGCATGGAGAGACGAATGGAGGCTTGAGCAGCTCAAACTTCGCATCATGGTCCAGATTCTCCAGTGCAGGGCTTTTGCTCCCGAAGAAACAACATTCCAATTGTCCATGCAGAGCTGCTAGTAAGCTGCTAGTAAGCTGCTAGTAGCTGCTTGCTTCATGAGGTGCAAAGTCCTTGCCGCATTCGACGATGATGAAGGAGGTCACTGCATCCTTGGCCCTGGCCTCTGGAGATACGGTGCTTGTGTGGATATGCCATGATATGCCCGGATGAGGCACATCGCATTGCGATGCCCGTCCCACGCTTTGTGTTCGGGGCTTTACTTCTTCTCAGTTTTCTTGTGTCGGAGCTTGGAGGTCAGTCCCTTAGCCACAACTGGTTCCTCTCAGGTCAACAGGTGCAACAGGTATCCGGCGCGCATCAAAAGTACGAGCCGGTGCCCAAGGGGCAAGTTCCCACGAAACTTTTACAGTGCAGTTCATGTGTAGTTTGGAAGCGGTCGGAAAGCTTTGCGCTAGCGAAGGCCTTGCCGGAGATTCCGCCAGAGGACCGGGCCTAAGGACCTGAAAGGACCTGAGAGGGCCTGAAAGGACCTAAAAAGGACCTCGTATATAGTGAGCTCAGCCATCAACGTTGTGAGCTGACGGCAGGTGCGGGCTCCAGCTGAAGGCGGAGCGGGCATCCACGCAAGACGTTAGCGCATCTTTTCGTTAGGTTGCTGTTGCAGAGTCCCTCCATGCCCACCCTCTTTGGTGGAACTTTGGAGGCATTTGCCTCAGGAATGGGTGCAATGGTCAGGGCCGCAAAAGTAATCCTTTTCGAGATCGTTTTCTGAAAATGGTTTCCATGACCCCTGCCAAAAAGGGTGCGTGCACACACGCTGGCTGCAAGCACACCCAGTCACAACACGCATTGCAGGAGTCAAATGAAGCCCAGCACCCCGGGTTGTAGCGCCGCAAACACTACAACCGTTCTATATCCTTGTGACTTTTGCGGTTTTTGAATGCTACTTTGCGACTCGCACAATGCAGGCAGACTTGGCAGCAAGGACGCTTGCTCCTCAATTTTTCAAGTGCCGAAGTCGTGGCTTCTTTGCGAGAGCCATTCGGAGATATCGGGATGCCTCTGTAAGGCTGGTGACTCCTCGCGGGCTTCCTCAGCGACTTGATGGCAATTGCACGCGTCTGTGAATTGCAGCCACGGAGTCACTGACGGAGTCACCGTGTTCACTGGGCAGCTTGTGTCTTATTGAAGGCGACTCGGGCAGCTGCCGCTGCAAGGTTTGACATAGAGCTCTGAAAAGAGCTCTTTCAGTGCGTCCTGGCTCACCGGGGTTCGAAGGGCTTACGCGAAGCACTGTTGTATTCATAAGCAAGATTTCACCTGTGGAAAGAGGACTTTCCAAAGGAGAGCTTGTTCAACAGCATACTGGCAGTAGACGTATGCAAAATGCAAACGCTGAAGAAGGAAACTCCTCATCCACCGAGATCAGATGTTGTGCTTAAGGCAAACCTCGGCTTGATCTCATTTGTCAGCTCTAGAAGCACTCGGTCCCTTGCCAAGCAAGTCAAGGCCCAGGTTTCACCGGGAAAAAGTGCACCCGTTCATTTTGTTCGGGTCGCAATTAGGGAGTAGGATGGTTAGGTCTGAATTAACGTTTCTGCAAGAATTCGCAACCTCCAGGTTGTGGTGCTGCAAGGCTACAGATTCACGCCGAGCTACGTATGCCGCGGTCAACAAGTTCTTCTTTTCACTCTTGGCATTGCTTTGTGTCTTGTGTCTTGTATCGTCTTTACTGTCCTTCGCAGATGTGGAAGCAGCATCGGGAGTCGATCCTGAAGACGTTGCAGGACTGCTTGCCAAGATGCCTGCACTTGTCCTCCCTGGTACCAGTCTAGATCGTCACGTGTAGATACATTCGCGAATGGGATCGCAGAACTGCGGCCTCAGCCTGTACTGCTTCTACAGCAGAGATAGAGATCAAATCTTGGCTCCATGCTCAGCTCCGGAAGAGACGTTGTGACGGCAGCTACGGTGGCTGTTCAATCTCGGCAGTGCGCAGGGCAGATCTGTGCAGGTAAAGATTGGTGCCGGTGCACAGAAGCTCCGAGACACCGCCGCCAGGTCCGACAGCGTCGGGCAAGAGCAGCCAAGAAGTGTAGCCATGCTGCTGTCCGGCGCAATTGCTAGACCAGCGTAGCAGGCAACATTGGTGAAACATGCGCTGTAGCTGCAGCTTCTATGAGGTGTTCTTTCAGTCTGTTCCAGTCCATCATTCCCCATCGAACCGCCTGTGAGAGAAGCAAAGGATCGTCTGTTGTTGCCAGGAAGCGATACAAGCTTCAACTGAAGAAGGCAAGCCGAAGGGAGACTAGTTTGCGGGGACTTGCTCATGCCATGACATGGAGCAAAGCCAAAGTTAGACTCAATGCTAGTGCCGATCCTTACCTCACCGGTGTCGAGGAGTACCTTAGTGCCTTTGCGGAGTTCCGCCATGACTATCCGGGGAGGTGCCTGAGCAGCATTGGTGACGAACAGATGTGCCCCGTGCAAAGTAGCTTCAGGCCGGAGTTTCGCTTCGCCGACCGGCGTATTATCTCCCACATCTATCAGACGCACACAGAGGACCCACAATGCACAAGTGAGCATGCTGGTCCTTGGGCATGCAACTGACAGGACAACTTGGATGGCAGCAGCATCTTCAAAACGATCGACAAGTACCTCAGCATAGATCGATACGCTTTTTGGTTTTTGAGACTCCGTTGAAACTCAGGATCCAGCTGATCTACCATATCATCCAATCCAAAGACAAAGACTGTGCAGGCGTTTGTGAGCGTTTGTTCGTAAAGACAAAGAGCCTCGTCCTTGCCGCCACAACAGGCATCAACGTGGCGAAGCTTCTTCACCAAAAAGAGGTGAAGGCGCAAATAAAAGACACAGTGGCTACCAGCGGCTGCAGCTAGTTCGAGCATGGCGACTGGCGACTGGCCATATCAGGACACACAGGTGGTCAGCTTTCTTTTGCCAGGCTTTCTTTCCGTTGCATGAGCCGTCTGTGATGGATAAGTTCAAGGCAGCTCAGGCTACGGGACTGTTCATGACTGCCCACGATCGCATGGTTTCATGTCAGCTCTATGTGCCCTGACTCTGCCAGTGGAAATGGTTCTGGCCGGACGAAGAGCACGCGAATCGGCTGCGAGACTACTTTGGTGACAAGGCAACTTCAGCTGCATTCTTTGCTTCATGATCATGTTGATGGGACGAAATCACAATCCGGATCCATACAGACGCTTCTAGCATGGTCCTGTTTCAGATCACATTCTACTTCCTGTGGATGGCCTTCTACGTGAAGTGGCTCTCGCCGTTGGCGTGCCTAGGTGCTCACTGATAGTAAGGTGGCAACCAACCACCAAGCAGTTTCAATATAGCAGGCCTTGTGCTACAATTCATTGACTGGTGTGTTCTTGGCTCAGACCTGCTTTGCAGACGTTGGCTCCTGCCACATCTGGCTTGCTTTCTGCAGCCCCTGGACTCAGGCACGGACGCCCGACAATGTGACGGCGATTCCTTTTTGCGTTCGCCCTGTACATGCCTATTCCACAACATGCATGAGTAAGGCCATTGCACTCTTCATGCTAGGTGTTGCGTTCGTTGCCTGTGAGGTACTGATGAGCATCTGGTCTTTGTGCTTGCCACATTTCTGGCGCCGGCAGGAGGCCGTGTCCCAGCGTTTCAAAATGCTCTTCAGGGATGTTTTGAGGTGGGGTGACATGCGTGTCATCACAGAAAGCATCCGCGAGGCCAAATGTGCCATCAGCTGGGGCTCGATGGATCTGGTTGCTGCCTTATGCGGTCTCACACTGCTTAGTGCCTGAGTGTTTCAACGCACATGAGTCCGAGGTCGAACAGCTAGAGCCTCACCGACCGGAGCACACGGGAGAGCAGCTCATTAACCCTGTGACTTCGCAGGCTCTCGCCAGTTTGGCCCTCGTAGCCTTGTTGTCGATTGTTGTCCAAGGCCAATGCATGTCCAGCATATTTTGACAGGCAGAGCCGTACTACCCGTTTGCTAAGCGCATCTTCAAGTGCGCTTGGGGCGATGTTTTTTGTCAAAGCTGTACTTATCACAGCCGGTTGCATGCATGCCACTCGCGTGATGTTGATGCTGATAGTGCAAACGCTTCTGTCCGCTGCCTCGGTTCGTCATGGAAGCATTGTCCGTGCAGCAGTGTTGCTGTGGTAGGAAATCATGGATGGTTCAGATGAGCACATCTCCAGATTCGGAGTGCAGGACATGACTGCCAGCCCAATCCTGAAAGCTGACGACTTCGCAAGCCCGTCGCTTTCAGTTCCATCGAGCCCCAGCTTGCCTGCAGAAGCATTGCCAGAAGCCTTGCTTCCGGCCGAGCGCGCAGAGCTTCTGCGGCTGCGACAGGAAGTGGCCCACTTACGCTCGCGCCTAACAACGGCCAGCGAGCCATGTGAGAGAGAAAGGCCTGGCCCTGTGGAGACCTCCGTCACACCGTTTGAGACGCCTGACAAGGACAGGCGCAGCGACTCGAGCCCAGGCTTCAGCGAGAGCGGTGAATGCGGTGACCATCAGATTGCTATCAGCGAGGTCCGCAGAAGAAGCGACTGGGCTTTGCGGGAGCGTGCCTACCGTTGTGCTCGAGACGCTTTCATGGGTCCTGATGGTGTGATGGGGGCAGGGCGCGTGGTGCGCTCGCAGCTGCTGGCAACCATGCGCCAGGAAGAGCCCGATGTAGCTGCCTTTTTCGAGTCTCCCAGGCAACAGTTTCGCTGCCTTATGGTTGAGGGAGACCCTGAAGGCATCATTGAGTGGGATGACTTCGTCAATTGCTACGTGCGACAGTGCAAACAGAGCATCTCTGCTGCCAAAGCCATGGAGCCCGAAAGGGAAAGGTCGCCGGCGACTGCTTCGACTCGATCGCCTGTCCTGCCACTGCAGCGGTGCAGCGAGATCGGTCGGAACGGGACGTGTCTTTCCGAGGATGTCTCGCCTTCGCGGATGCAGGAGATTTGCTGAGCAGCGATCTTGACAGCTTGACTCGCATGACCATTCTTCCTCCCTCGCGTGTCCTCACTTTGCCCCAGGCCGTCTAAGGCCCGACTCACCCTACAGCAGCAACAGCGTAGCAACATGTAGCAAAACAGAGTCTGAAGCTGACCAGAGGACTCCCTGCTGATCTCCACATCATCCGTTGAACATGACCGAGGCTGGGATGACTCCATGACTAGAACGTGTATCCTTGCACTTTTCTGCGGAAAACGACAGCTTGCCATGAGCAGAGGTGCAACGCAAGAGCTTCGGACTTAGCTTGGGTGGCCATGGCATGCTGCTTGCCGCTTCGTAGTGGATTGCGGCTGTGCGAGACCAGCCCAATGGCCCAATGGATCTGGCATGTACTGAGGCAGGCACCACAGCTGATGCTCTGGTCGACCTGAGCTAAGCGCATCATTGAGACTGGAGCGGTTGGATGCGGTTGCAACACGTTGCAACTGCACTCCTCAGAGTGAGAGTTTCAGTCCTGTGCCTTTCTGTTCTCAAGCTTGGCGCATGTATACTTGACAGCGTTACCATGTGTTACCGATGCTAAGCCAAATATGTGCAAATCTTCAAAAGAATTTGCAGTGCAGCCTGTCATTGCGGCATCTTGATTTCGAGCTGAGCATTACTTGCTCGCTGATAGCATTGGGCTTTTGCCTTTGTTCATGGCATGTCCCTGGTGGCTTGTCCTGACTTGCCTCTCGCTTGTGGCGGCAGATATCTGCGGAGATCCTGAACCTGGTTCTTCGCTCAACATCACATGCGGTGGTTCCAATTGCTCTCAGAAGTTCTTCTGTGATTCCCCGACGCGTTGCCAACGGGTTCTGCTGGTGGCAGCATCTGTGTCGTGCGAAGGGCGGCACGCAGTTCTTTCACGTGAACTCCGCCGGGGCTTGGAGCTTTGGGCAGCGGAGGTCAACGCGCCGACGTCTTCTGTGCGCGGGTTCTGGGGAGAGCGCTTGCTGGTCAAGTTGTGGTTTGTCGACGATCGGAGTGAAACTGGTGAAGTAAGGCGGATCTACCAGGATTTCGTGTCCAGACATGGTGCTCAGCGAGCCGAGCTCAGGGCAGTGAGCAGTACATAGCAGTAAGTGACTCAGTAGTGGGCCATTGGAGCAGTGCCATTCACGCTCTCTTTCGTCATGCACAATCAAGGACCTGACGCTTTGGTCGGTCCTTTCTCCACTGAACTCTCTGAAGTCGCCGCGGAAGCCAGCTCGGCTTCAGATGTGCTGCTTCTTCTGCCTGGGGCTGCCTCTCCCACTATCTTTCAGCGTGGCTTCACTCACATCATTGGCAGAGGGCTCAGGCATCATGTTCAAGGAATTTGGGATTTATTTTAAGGGGCTGCGCCCATGGGCGGGCAGCGCAGGCAGAAGCTCGAGGAGTGTTCTGCAAACCGGGAAGGGGGCACGTGCGCACGTGAGCGCCCGGGCGCGCGCGCGCACACGGGCGTCCGCCCCCGCCCGGCGTGCGTCCCAATGGGGTCTGTAGGCTTTCATAGTCGGAACGCACGGGTTTGGCGACAGCGGGAAAGCTCATGCATGCGCGTGGGCCGCCGTGTCATCCAAGGCCGGAGCCGCTGATGCTCATGATGCGCGCCCGGCATCCCGGACTGGGGCCGCTGATGCTCCTGATGCGCGCTTGGGCTCCGGAACTCAACCCGCTGATGCTCATGATGCGTTGCCTTTGGGGGACCTTTGGGGGTGTCCGGGGCTATCCCATTTTGCAAAAAATCGTTCACGGCGGCACGGCCCGTGATGAACAGGTCCGCTTGCCATCACCACAAGGGCCATGCCGCTGCCCGATTTTAAGGGGCTGCGCCCATGTGCGGGCAGCGCAGGCAGAAGCGCGGGGCGAGCAGATCCGTCACAGGGTTGGGGACGGTTGGGGTTTCTCTAAGCGTTTGAGGTTCCTAAACTCCCTTGAAGTTTCTAAACATTTTTAGGCCACTAAACTCCCTTAAAATCTCTAAGCGTTTGAGGCTCCTGAACTCCCTTAAAGTTTCTAAGCATTTTCAGGCCCCTAAACTCCCTTCAAATCTCTAAGCATTTGAGGCTCCTAGACTCCCTTAAAGTTTCTAAGCACTTTACAAGGCCCCTAAACTCCCTTTTTCCTAGCCCCGGGCTTAGACACGTCGCTTATGCCCGCCCTTTGGGGGGCATCATGCTCCTGATGCGCCCCGGGGTCCCGCCCGGGAGCCGCTGATACTCCTGATGCGCGCCTGGGGGTCCCGGGCTGGACCCGCTGATGCTCATGATGCGCCCCCAGAGGCCTCTGGGGCCTCCGTCGCGACGCAAAAAAACACGAAAAAACACCGTTCACTGGGGGCACGCGGGGTCGGCGGCACTGGCGTCCGGCCTAATCCGGCCCCCGCGCCGCCCGTGGTCCAGGGCGGAGCCCGCGTCGCTCTAAAGCGCTAGCTTTAAGGGGCGAGCGCCCGGGCCGCCAAATTGCTTCAAATTCGCGCGGGGCCCTTCGGGAGGCCTCCCAAACGGCATCCAAGGGGCCCTGGCCCGCGGCCCCACGGCAGTAAAAAACGCTGAAAAACGCTGAAACCACCGTAAATACCGTGGTTTTATGAGGTTTTTCACGCCCCCACCCTTGTGGCCCTTGACCCGCTCCCAAAGTGCGCATCATCGAAACCCACGTCCGCGCGGGTCTGCTGATGCTACTGATGCGAGGGGGTCCGGGGGCGTCATCGAGCCATCGTTTCTCATGGGGCTTCGTGGGCCTGGCCCACGGCCCAGAGACCCAGCTGATGCTCATGCTGCTTTTTTGGGGGGTTCCAAGAGGAGAAAACCTCGTAAATACCAAGTGTCTTGTGGGTCCACGTAAAACGCCCCTAGAATCGCTCATGTTACGCGCTCGAATGGCTTCATGCCTACAAAACACCTGAAAAGCAGGACCCCGAATGCCCTTAGGGCATTCGGGGTCTTGCTTTTGGGGCAAAGCACATATAATCGGCATGTTGAGGGGGGTTTTGGATGGCCTGGGGGAGGCCGCTGATGCTCATGATGCTCCTTTTCCTGGGTCCCAAAAAGCTTCCCAAGCCCAAAAACACGTGTTTACAGCGTTTTCTGGAGGTTTTTCGAAGGCAAAACGCGTGCTTAGCGTGTGTTTAGGGCTCCCAAACCTGATGCTCCTGATGCGGTGCGCGCACGCGCGCGCGGGGGGGGGGGGGGGGGGGGGGGGGGGGGGGGGGGGGGGGGGGGGGGGGGGGGGGGGGGGGCGAAGGCAGGAGAAAGAGAGACAGAGAGAAGGAGACGCAGAATGAAAAGAGAGAAAGAGACAAAGGCGAACGAGCAAGAGAAAGGTGAACGAACAAGAGAAAGTGAGAAGATAGAGAGGGAGAGAGATATATAAAACAAAACAAAGAAGAGAGAGAGAGAGAGAGAGACAGACAGAGGAAGACCGACAGCTATAGAAAGAAAAGAAAAAAGAGAGAGGTGAAGGAGAAGCAAAAAGGTGAACCGGAGGAGAACAGCAAGAGAAAGAAAACAAAAAGAAAGGTGAGGGAGAAAGAGAAAGAGAAAGAGAAAGAGAAAGAGAAAGAGAAAGAGAAAGAGAAAGAGAAAGGGAAAGGGAAAGGGAAAGGGAAAGGGAAAGGGAAAGGGAAAGGGAAAGGGAAAGGGAAAGGGAAAGGGAAAGGGAAAGATAAGGAGAAGGAGAAAGAAGGAGAAAGAAGGAGAAGGAGAAAGAGAAAAGATAAAAGAGAAAGAGAAAGAGCAAGAGGAAGATGAAGAGAAAGATAAAGAGACAGAGAATAAAGAGAAAGAGAAACAAAAAGATAAAGAGAAAGAGAAAATGAAAACAAGGAAGCGCAGGAGAATAAAGAGAAAGAGAAACACAAAGATAAAGAGAAAGAGGAAATACAAATAAGGAAGCGCCGGAGAAGTAAGAGAACAAAAGAAAGACAGAGAAAAAGAAAAACAGGCAAGTAGAGAGAGGAAGAAACAAAGACAGAACAAGACCACGCGAGAGAGCGAGAGAGAGAGAGAGAGAGAGAGCGAGAGGAGAGCGACAAATAGAAAGGACAAAGAAAAAGGGAAAGAGAGCGAGAGGAGAGCGACAAAGACAAAGGACAAAGAAAAAGGGAAAGAGAGGACAGTGCCAAGGTTTAGGTTTCGTGTTTTGGGGGCGGGGCCCGGCCCGTGCCGCTAGGCCTGAAATTCTGCTTCGCAGAAGGCCGACGGCCAGCAAGGCTATTCCCGGCAGGGACCCGGGCCAAAAGGTCCGCCAAGCTCGGTCCTAGGGACCTCGCGCTGCCCGATTTAATGGCTGCCGCCAGTGCCGCCGACCCAACAACGGTGGGGCTCCGTGAAGGAAGGGTTTCGGGGTGGGGTTGGTGGGGGGAGGGGGGGGGTGGGGGTGGGGGGGGGGTGGGGGTTGGGTTGGGGGGTGGGGGCATTAGGTTTTAGGGTTTAGGGTTTTAGGTTTTGGGGTTTAGGGAGTTGGAGTTTTTGGGTTTTAGGCGAGATTTTAGACTGCGTTAGGGTTTCTTGGGCTTTTAGGGTTTTAGGTTTGGAAATCTTCGGAAGTTTCTTAGGGCGGGAGCGGCGGCGGGCTGTAAAACACGTCATCTCAAGCTTCTATACAGATTACAGGCTGAGAGCAAGCATATGTTTGAGATCGGCGGGCATGCAGGTCCAGGGATGCGTTGGAGCCTTCAAAACATAATTTTAACGCTACGCGACCCGCCTCGGCCCGGCCCAGCGCATCCGCGTGAGCATGGTGATTCCGCAGCGCCCAAGTCGCTGGACCCCAAGCAATAAGGGTTGGGTTGAGGGTTGAGGGTTGAGGGTTCCGGGTTTATGGTTTATGGTTTGGGGTTTGGGGTTGAGGGTTAGTTTAGGGCTCAAGGTTCACGCTTTGGGGTTGAGGGTTTTTTTGGGTTTAGGGTTCGGCTTGGAGTGATCGTAGGGTTGAGTCAGGCCCCTTAAGGTTTAAGGCGACTCTTCGGCAGGGTGGGGGGGAGGTGGGGTGGGGGGGGGGGGGGAGGGGGGGGGGGGTTGGGGGGAAGGGGGGTGGGGGGGGGGGGGGGGGGGGGGGGGAGGGGGAGGGGGGGGTTGTGCGTCCGCTTGCGGACCCCGGTTTCCCAAAAGGGTACCCAATTTGAGGCCAAAAAAAGGGGTCCGAAAAAGGGCTTTGCGTGGGGGGGAGGATTTAGAGGGGGGTGCCTGTTCTGACAACCTATACACCTCCGGCCCGAGGCCTCGGCGGATTTAAAGCAGCAGGTTGGGAGCAGGCTGGGGCAGGGGAGTAGCAGTGGTGGGCGGCCCTATAGACGAAGCACTCAGACCATGGGACGGGAGAATGGAGAGAGCGGGGAGGGCGGGGAGGGCGGTGCAGGGAAAATGAGTCTTCACTGACGCCGCCCTTAAAGGGTCGGCGGATATGACGTGGCTGATAGTGGCTGACGAGCGATTCGAGCGATTCACCAGTTTGAACATGTTGAGGTTTGCTGGCATCCGCTGAGAGTTATATGGTTGATGCCATGCGAAGGACCCAAGCTCCTGCGCTGCTTCAAAATCTAGTTTGGGTGAGCATCCTGAGTGCCGTCTCAGTGACACTTGCAGTTCGTTGAGGTCTGACAACAGGAGGTCGCAACTTGCTTTCGTCATTTTCGTTGCTCTTGCGCTCTTGTCCAGACTAGGCTTTGTCCGTCACCTCCGCAGTGTTTGCGAACGCGGATGGCGAGTTCCCTACGTCTGTCTGCGCCGGTGGCGCGGCCGAAGCGCGTCGCTTGGGGATAGATATACTCGGCAACTTCACGTGGTCATCCAGCGACATCACGGCAGTTGTTCAGCAAATCAAAACTCTGCAACCAGATGTCCTGGTTGGTTGTGGCTATGTGGCTGATGCTTCGATGTTTGTGGTTGCTGCCATGGCACTGGATTTCAATCCCAAAGCGATGGTCCTCACGCAGGCTTCACATCCGGATTTCATCGGTGCTGTAGAAGCACGGAACGCGAACTTCATCGCTGGGCCTGCGCTTTGGGTACCAGAGCTGGGAGATGATACCTGCAGTCGTCCCTGCCCAATATTCGCGAATGGTTCCCATTTTGCCAATGCTTACAAATCTGCTTACGCCCGACCACCGCCATACCAAAGTGCCGCTGCGGCTGCAGCTGGGATATTGCTCATTGATGCTGTCGCTCGCAGTGAGACCTATGACCCATCAGCACTGCGCCCACGCATATTGGAAGCCGGATTCTTGAGCACCTTCTACGGCCGTCTGGCGTTCACTGATGATGGAATGATGGACGATGATGCTTTGATGTCGCGCACGGTGCAGCTCAGACCACTGGCAGCTTGGGAATCGCCCTTGTTGCGCTACAACTCGAGCATGCTCACGGTCCTTGGCAAAGGCTTCGTGCAGCATTGAAGTTCTCTCGTAGTGTAATGCACACCACGCCATGCTTATAGGGGAACGCTGTCATGCTTCTATGGATCTAAGCTATAAAGCTTTTCTTGTCATCCAAGCTACTTCTAGCGGCACTTGGCCATCATGAGCTCGCGATAGTTCACGCGCATATCGCTAAGGTGGTCAGGAAATGGAGGAGATGCCTAGTTGGCACGCAAAGCGAATGCTGGTCTATCCATGCGAGGAAGGTTATCATCTGCGCCTGAAAGAGTGCGTACCCTGCGATGCGGGTCGTGATTCTGTGGCAAACAGCGGGTTGATGGAAACCTACTGTAGGGAATAATCCCACATCATGGCAGGGATTGTCAATACCTTGGGACTGAGGCTACCGCCGCTCAGGCACACCAGCTTGCCTCGCCTGCGAACGCGGCACCTATGCTGCGATACCTGGACAAGGGCATTGCCGGCCTTGCCCGACAGGACATCTCCCGGAGTCCCCAGTGCGAGTGTTTGAGTCTTCGTTCTGAATCAGGAGCCAACTGCACAGAGCTGGGCACCGCTCTGCCAGAGGCGCGAGCGGGCTACTATCGGATGCCGCTGCAGTGCCTCGATTCTATCTAGTGCTTGACATGGCACGTTTCATGCGAGAAAGATGGATTGCTGGTTCGCTGAGGTCTGGGGGGGACCTCATGCCGTGGAACTTCCAAAAGTGTCGGCCTGAATCTACATGCCTTGGTGCCAACAGATGTCAGGGAAGCAACACCGGAACGCTCTGTGAGCAGTGTCAGCCTGGCTTCACGAATCAACGTTCCATCGTCTTCGGGGCCGGCAGGGGCGTCTTGGCACTCATGACAGCTTGGCTCCTTTGCGTGTTTTCACCTGTTCTAAATCGTCTCAAGTCAATTCAAATCATAGTAACTCATATGCATCTGGGCAGGCCACTGCCAGGAGTGCCCTTCCACGGAAGTGAACGTGTTATTGGTCGTCCTGCTCATTTTCGCGTGTGCGGCTTACATAGCAGTCGTCTTCAAAGCCACGATCTCCTCAGCTCTTTCTGTTCGGCACCTTCAATCGATTATCTTGAAGATTGTGATCAACTACCTTGTGTTCGCCCAAGCTCCTTCGCGGCAAAGTAAGACGCACCCAGTACCAAGTATCTGTTCCACTGACCTGAGCAGGTTACGCTGCAGTCTACGGGCTTTTGGGATCAGATGTGGACGGAACTGCAAAAAACCTTTCCCTCAGCGTCGCCTGCTGATGAAGGCCGAGAGAAATGTAGTGTGGTCCACGGTTGCAGAAACAAAGACGCTCATCAACGGTTCCATGTCGTTGTCTCAAAGTTTTGCCAGGTCCAATCCTGCTCAGCTATGACTGCTTGCTTCAAAGCTCTGGTTGGCAGGTCTTTCGTGCTCAGATGTACCTCGCAATCTTAATGTTGCCAACAGCCCTGTTTTTCAATATGATGTTCTGTTTGATGCGGATGCTTGACGCAGATGGCCTTTTGTTTCTGTCAATTGTCAAGTCAATGTTCTCGCAGATGCATTCCAGCTTTTGCCGGGACCTTGCTTGTCCGGTGCCCGAGGAATATAATTCTCATTTGCCGTATCAAGCGCAACAAGGAAGTTGTGGAAAGGCTCCGTCAATTCGACGACCACAGCTGGAATTGGACTTCTCTTACAAGGCACGTTTCTGATGACCAGCTGACGAGGAAAGGTTCACCACCACTCCGCTCGCAATCGAGCCTGGTCATCTCAGAGGCTCTCCAATCTGCCCTAGTCGTGCGCCGTTTGGCGCCACCTTTGCACCACCTTTCAGCTTGTCCCTGAGGTAGCCAGCGTGCACAGTCCGTCGAGCGCCGGCCTTGCAAGCCGCACGAACACCGAAGATGAGCCGGAGCCCCAGTAAACGTGCCAACGATCCACAGGTAGATACAAGTTGCGGCTGAGGATTGCGGAGTAGTCGCAAGAATAGGTGCCATCAGAATGTTGCTGTCTTAGGATCAGGCAGTGGAAGGAGTTCAAGTTGGCAGTTGTGCAATCTTCGGCTTCTTGGCTGAAGTTGAGTGCATTCCATTTGCTTCATCGCAGAGCCGACAAGTTTTGAGAGTCTTGCGTCGGGATTGGTTAGCAAGATGCAGATGCAGGCAAGGTTTTCGAAGCCACTCTTCAGCTGATCGTGATTTGCACTTCCGCGCTAAGGTGGTTTGGGCATTTGTATTGTATCCGACTATCATTCAAGCGTTGCTGAAGGCCTTGCAAAGAGCAGAGATCTAGCAGCTTTCTGCCGAGTTTGGTGGCAATGGAAGCTTCGGACGAGATTGGTCTTTACTTTGGCTAGCTACTGTAGCATTCGTTTCTGCCGCGTTAAGGCAACGGGCTGCCCTGAGTTGTCCGGCACACCCGTGTAATCGAACCTGCACGCATTTTTAAACTTGGAAGCACGAAGTCGACGAAGGCGACACCTCTTCCTGTGTACAACCGTTGCTGAAAGTGGAGCATGAGCATCTTCTTCTACGTCCTGGTGCAAAGATATGTATACAGTAGATCACGGCGCTTCGTCTGTCTGTACACTGTACAGGAGAAGGGTCAGGTGTCAGCACCGTCATACAACAATAAGCGGTGTAGGTCAGCATGCCTTGGATGCGCATGTCTTCTAGCTTAGCCTTTTACAGAAGCTCATCATTGTGGGCAGGGCATTGTGTGTGAAGAGTACGACACGCTGCGCCTGATGGTCAACATGGATGTGGAGTGTTTCGGTTCCCCGGCCCAGCACTTCAACCACGAAGCAGCCAACGCGATGCATGACGTTATCACATTACGTGGTTCTACAAGAAACAGGGTTGAATCAAAGGAATGACGGCTAAACATATGTCGTTCAAGAAGGAACACTTGGTAAAAGGAGAGCGTGCAGCGTTGACACACACCCTGGACAAAGCTTTCAACGGTTCCATCATTCATTCCGTGGGTGTGACAGTGTTCAGTTCGTTTGAAGCTTTCAACAGCTTGAGTTTGCCAGTGCTTGTCCTGTGCAGCTTTGCCAGAGTTCAGCCTGGAGCCTTTGTCCATTGAACGGCTGACTTGACGAATTCTTCAACATCCTCAACCAGTTCAAAGATTGAAGGTTCTGGGGCGGGATTTTCTCGGGCCTGTTAGAAACGTGGAAGAGTGGAATGAGGACACGTGGCGTTTCTCCACAGTTGACTCAGTTACCAAGGCTTCAACCGTTCCCTCCAGCCTTTCCATCTGTGCAGATTTCCATCTTGCAACGATCAAATCTGCGACTTTCGCAATCCTTAAGCTTCGAAGCCTCAAATGTTTGCTCACGAATGTGACCCTCACGGAATCTCTCAGCAACCAAGGTGGCGACCATGCGCAGGTGTTTGCTTTGTGCCTTTCTGGACTTCTACTCTACGGCCTTGGGACTCCCGCTGTATTCTTTTTACTTCTATACAGGAGGAGACACAAGCTGATGATGCCTTCGACCCGACGAAAGTTGGGATTTCTGTACAATGGCTTTCAGTGGCGATCGTATCATTATGAGTGCATCTACATGCTTCGAAAGTTCTCAATTCTTTTTGCAGCCAGCCTTCCGCAGCAGACGCTCCGATCAACGATCATGCTCTGCCTCGGGATGTATTTCTTCATCCAACACCTGCGTTTGGACCCTTTCGACAATCGAGAGTACAAGGTCCTAGACAAGCTGGAGCTGCTAAACTTGTGGTGTTTGGTTGTTACGCTCCTGGGTGTGTCCCTCTTCGAGGAAACCCAGTTTAACACTGGAAATGCATCATCCTTGGTCACTGCGCTGCTGTCCAGTGTGGTTTTCAGGGCGTGTGTAATTGCTATCGTCATTGCAAGCCATGTGGTCTTCTGGTTTTATGCGATCCGAGCACTGGTGAGTGACATGGTGGTGCGCCCCTTGCGCTTGAAAGCCTTGGCCGGCATGAAATTGCAGTGGTGGCAAGAAGTACTGCTAGCCTTCTATCGAACTTGTGTAGGTTCGGGAAACATGCTCCGTTTTCGTGGCAATGATAACAGTCTGGATGTGAGTGAACTCACCGACAGAGAGAAGCGATTTCTCACAGTGGCCCTCCAGAGCACGTTGGAATGCTACATGAACTACTCGGGACAGGCTACACCAGGCTTGGTCTCGGTGGCACTTCGGGAGGCCGTGTTGATTTGTCAGAGAACACGGCGCCTTCAAATCGATTGGCTCCGGCGACATGTGGAGATCAATGTGCCGTGCATGGCCTTGCTTTGGGGCGCCTTCAGGGCAAGAATCTGTGCAGCTTACACGACAATGAGTGCGACATGCGCCAGGCTCCGGCGGAGGCCTGGCCTCAAAGAGACGGAAGATCCTGAAGAGGACAGTCCTGTTGTTCAAAAGCAAGCCTCTTTGCTGCGAATGCCCATTACGCGGTGGGACACGCACTACATGCGCAACATTGCTGATCGTGAGAAGCAACCTACAGTGAATGAGTTCTATGTGGAAGAGCTACATGATGCCTTGATGGTGCTTTGGCCGGAGATCAAGAGAGGTTGGCCAGAGCTGCACCATTTCTCAAGCGGGGACACGCCAGAGAAGCGGTTTGTGGTGTGGGAGGGCCAGGGAGCTGAAGCTATCATGAGCGAGATGCAGTGCCCTCAAGGCGTCCTGCAGCAGGCTTTGTGCCGCCGAAGCAGCCGTGACACCTTGCATACTCTTCAAACTGCAAGCCCGAAGGAAAACGTGGAAGACAAAAATGCAAGTGAAGGAGCAGGCGTTGCCAGTTCCACTGATAAAGGTGAGAGAGATGCGAATTCCGCGGTCGAACGCACAGCTGAGCAGGGCTGGTTGCATCACATGCTGGATGCCGAGGATACGGAGACAGAGCTTGCGCGAGTTGGTGCTGCCTTACGACGTGCAAACCAACGAAACTTTCAGTTTGCTTGTCGAATCATTCTGGAAAGACATCGCGCCTGGAAGCTTCAGCAAAAGCTTGAAGAAGCACTGGATAAGCTGGCCATCTCGAGCAGTCTGGTCCAGGGCATCATCAAACCGACAAATTGCTCTGTTCAGAGAACCGCTGATGAGGGTTCCCAGGGAGGCGCGGCTCGTCGTAGAAATGCATCCAAAGCATCTATCTGTGGCCTCGACCATGAAATCCCAAAGCCATCTACAGTTGACAGGAGTGAATATGTGGAACAAGAAGTTGCTTCACCAACTGCTGTCTCTTCCAAAGCAGAGCAAATGGAAATTCAGGAGATTCCTCGGTTGCAGGTGGCTGCAGCGCACGCAGCGAAGACCTTGTCGCTGAGCAGTGAGGCAAACCCCGATGAGAGACCGAGGAAAGCAGCGAAAGCAACGAGAGTTTCGAACGTCACGAAGGCACCAGAAGCACCGGAAGCACCGGAAGCACCGGAAGCAAGCCCAGAAAGCGCGACTGAAGGCTCTGTTCTTGGGCATTGGGCTGGATCGCTCATACGGGCTTTTGACCGCCTAAAGCCGACAGAGGCACCTGAGGCACCTGAGGCGCCTGCGCCCGCAGCCTCCGCGAGTTCCTCCGCAGCCTCCGCGAGTTCCTCCGCAGCCTCCTCTGTGCCCAACGTGCCCAACGTGCCCAACGTGCCCAACTCCACAAAACCTGCAAGCAACTCTGAAGGGGCGCAACATTGGTGGGGTGCACTTCGACCGGTGTCGGACCTGAAACCTGCCACCTGGTTGCTTATAGGGCTGTCGTGATCATTCGTGATCCATCTGCAATACCGTAGCTTAGGTACAGGCTGCCCACGACGATTTGCGAGATTCACCATCCCTCGACACCTGTCCGCAAAGTAGCAAAGTAGGGGGAAATCAGGACAACCCGTGGGAGCTTTGCTCACACAAGTGCAGACCAACACGCCGCAGCATGCAGCGGAGTGTTAGTCCACATACCGGAGCCGCCATGTTGAGTCGAGGAGCAGTCCTGTCCAGCATGCTTGAACTTCCATCCGAGGACATCAACGATCCTGTCTCGCTACAGGAGCGTTACATGCGTGCAACGGCAAGAGGCCGCAGTGCCTTGGCTAGAGAAATCAGGTAGTCATCAGGGCGATGACTCGGCAACAGTCGCTGGTGGGGCGATGCTTCCATGGCGCTGTAGAACAATACCTCAACTCCTTCGCAGGCTAGTGATCGTGGCCGCGCTCTCTGGATTGTCCGGGTTCTTTGTCGAGGGTGGGTTTGACGGCCACGCTTGTGTGTCGCCTTGTGGAGGTTCTCGTTCTGTCCTACGAGTGCCAGCAATGGTCGTTGCCAGCTTTTGCTCGCAAGATCTCATTCACACGCCCAGCTGCTATCTCTGAACAGTAGGACAGAATGACAGCGCGCCACGCCTCACCAAGCCACCAAGGTGAAGGAAGCCCAGAGACGAGCCCCCATGTCGCGCTCGGAGCTCAAAGGTTTCCTTGAGGATCGAAATTTGCGCGAGACTTGTCGTAGTCTTGCTCAGACAGTGTCATTGCTTGTGTTTCGTCTGAGCTTGAGGTTGTCAGACCATAAGCTGCCAAGAAAGAACAGTTTACACGAAGCAAGAATACAAACTGGTCGGTGGAGTGACCGAGGTCACTCGAGGTCATCCGAGGTCATCCGAGGTCATCCCAGGTCATCCGACGTCACCCGAGGTCAACCGAGGTCATCCGAAATCAGAGTAGGGCAAGGAGTGTCGCGGAGAAACGAGCTGGGGAACGGGCAGCGGGATATCTATCGAAGGTCAGTGGACGCAGAACCATTATTGTTAATATGGCTAGGAGAAAGGCTGGATTTCTAATCGGAGCATCAGCGTGCGCTGACCCTAATGAAACCCCACTTGCCGCTCACGGCCAAGCCGACGCCATGCCCATCAGACTTTATCCCGTCGAAAGCCACGTCAAGGAAAGGATGGAGGATGCAAGAGGCTGCAAGTGCCAACATCCTGCAGTTGACTTGAGAGATCAATCTTTCAAGGGCCAATTCTCACGTGGAGCACGTAGTCTATGCCTCAACATGCAGCAGGTATGTGAAGCGTAGCTGCCTTCTGGAGCATGTGCCTACAGTATTGAGTGCATTCAGTGGATCAGACATGCAGCGCAGAGAGCGCAGCATCAGACGAGCACCGCGTCGGACTGGCACCGCTGAAACACTGGTCCAGCCCCAGAGCACAGTTGCACATTAGGCGACATGCTTAACATGTGGCAAGTGTGCCGCTGGAACAATCCTGCAGAGCATCTGCAAAAACGGATGCATGCAGACTTGTAGTCACCGCCGCGCAACATTGACCATCATGACCGTGTCAACAGGCGCAGCAGGACAAGGCTCTCCGGAGTACGGCGTTGGGTTCAGTCACGGTTCACCGTTGTTAAAACCGTGGTTGTTGGCACCGTAATTCCGACAGCATGCGTGTTACCAACGAATGTCTCGCGAGGCATTGCTTAACCTATGGCTCGCTTGCATTTGCAAGACTGTTGAGCTGACTCACACAAACATTGCACACTCATCGGTGCTTTGCATGATCGCAATGCGTACTGTCTCGAGAAAGACAATGTATGATAATGTATGGTGTATTGTAAACAGCAGATCCGCGCTGGAAGAGCGATGTCCATTCACTAGGCAAATCGACGTGATGTTGCAAGTCAACTAGGATTGCATGTCGAAATCGCTCTGAGTTACACAGAGGTGGTTGTATTTGTTGAAGGTGCACAAAGTGGCCTCAGTGCTTGCGCTCTGCGTGCGAAGTGCCAACGTTCAAGGTCCGCTGGTCGTCCTAGCAGCTGGCGACGTCGAGTGGAAGGCGCTTTGGGAGCATTGCTGTCCCTGTTCTACCCGAAAGTTTACCTGTCTACACATAGTGTGGTGTGGCTAAGGGCAGAGAGGAGGGGGCGACTAGGACAAGGGGCACTACTGAGCGACCTGGACTTTTCGCATCATGCTGCGGTGGTTTAAGAGTGGCTTTCCTGCCCTTGTGTCTTCTCACATCCTGCACAAAGCTGCACGTGAGTCGAAAACATCCATTTGTGAGTAGCCATATGTAGCCATATGTAGCCATGTTGCTAGGCCCCCAGTGGCTGTTGGCATAAGAGATGCTGACCTGCCGCTCGGACGACAACCATCATACAATAGCCGCAGCAATACCAATTTACGCATCTGATTCTGATGCTGATAATGTACCAGCTCTGGCAAAACCCTGCATCGACGTTTGGCAATTGCAGCTACAAGGGCTGCTGCCAAGTGGATCGAGTAAGCAGCAGACTCGGCAGACCTAGCGCCGATAGCGGTGCGGCCGCTGACTTGTGCACTAAAAAAGGAGCTCGGTGCGGCGTACAACGCGCCAGTCCACAACGGGTCTGAAGTTTTCCAAAGGGACCATGCCAGAGCGCCTGTCCCGTTTAAGCTTTCTGCTCCTGTTGCACGTTAATGATCCAGCAACCGATCCTTTGTCGCAGAGCGTGCGCTAATCTGGTGCTGTGGATAGCCCTGTGACAGCCAGCAAAATGCATGCTGCTGGCGCCTTGCGTTGCGATCTGTGAAGTCTTCAGTTCACAAGGGGCATCAAGGGGTCCTTACATGATGGACTCGCTGGCTGTGGCTTATGCTTGTAGCCAACGGGTCCGACTTGAATCAGGACTGGCCTCGCTGCTCGCAGTGCAGAGCGCTGGGCACAGGCACAGTGCAGTCATCGGGTACTAAATAGCTGTGTGCTTGAGCGTCACATGCTTTCCCCCATTCTCGTAATATCTCGTAACTGCACTCACCCAACTACAATGGCAGCACCTTGACCCACAGCTCAAGAGATTGGATGTCCAGTCGGAAGGTGTGTGACAACGACCAGCATGCTGCTGCAGAAGGCTCGGTGCACTTCTTATGCATGATGCCAGCGCAGAAGCTGCCCAGTATCTATCAGCAGCATAAGATTCTGCTGTCAGTCGAAGTGCTCGAAGTACAGGTTTGTCATGCGGACGAAGCTTGAATGCTAGACTCCGTGCAGACACCTTTTTATGGTCGTTATTTGCTGCTGTTGCTGCCGTATCCGTTGTTGTTGCAGCCAGCAAAAGGCAGCCGGCAATGGTCGAGCGGAGCAGAGGTACCGCGTCTCAGAACATTCTGCTTGGTTGTCTGCAGCACTTTCCACGACCCACAAGCAATGGTGGATCATGACCTTGCCGATTCTTGCCTGAGGCGGACGCAAATGGTGCAACGAGCGATATTGCATCGCCTTCTTCAGATGCCTACTGTAGCAGGATGCTTAAGTTGGCAGTGATTACACAGCCTTGTCTGAAATCTTGACCATGAGACCACGGCAGCGTGAAGACTTTGCAGATGAGTGGAAGTTGACGGAGACCGAAGCCATGTTCCGTTTGCGAGGCAGCTCGCCACCTCGCAGGCATCGCTTGGCGTGGCAGCCGCTTGCCAGATGAGTTGTGCTCAAGCGAAAGAGCATTCAGCTGTGTGCGTGTTATTGTTTCTGTCAACAGCTGAGAACGAGGCCTGCTCAGCCAACAAGTGTTGCCACTCTGCCATGCAGCTCACGGACATGCTCTGGCAGGAGCCGTTCGCGCGAGTCAAGTGCTCATACCGCAACGCCCTCGGCAGCAGTCAACTCTCCAACTTCGCCTTGGGAGGGAACCTCACGTCCCTCATCAAGTCCGTCGCGGGACATAGAAGAATCCTTTGCAGCGACAAGAGCCAGCGTTGCAGAGTCTTTTGCGAAAGCTCAGATGGAACCTCTTAAAGCGCCCCGCCTGAACTGGAAGCTCCCAGCCAGTGCGGCTGGCCCGCTTCCTCCGGCCGAAGGTGGGCCAGCTTTGGCCAGTCCACGACATCGTACGGGACCAGGGCGGCCAGCAGACGGATCAAACGGATCAAGCGGAGTTGCTGGAGTTGCTGGAGTTGCTGGAGAGCTCATCTCCGCCGAAGCTCCCGCCTCGTTGCGCGCAAGCGCTCGAGCCCGTTCTGACCGCCTGCCTCAGGCTGTGTCTATTGTTTTTCCACAGCCGATGTTGTCACATTTGTCACAAGGTCCACCACAACATGCTCCACTTTGGCACCCACCCATGCCTTCCACCACATTCGCCCAACCAAGCCAAATCAATCCTTCATATGGTTCTCCATGTGCACCAGCGCGCCTGCTCAATGGCGAATCCCAGGCTGGGGCGTGTCAGTGCTCGCACCTTCTTGGGATGATCCAAGCTGGCCAGGCCGTCGATGCCCTCAACCAAGGCGTTGGAAGCCTTGGCAATGTCGGACCACGCGGGTCGTCCAAAGCTCAAGTGCAGATCAGCTACCATACAGTCTCGCCCAGTTTTCACCAAATGTTTGCACGAGTTGCAGGGCCTCGTAACCTAGTAGGGGAAGCAGAGTGCGGAGAGTTGGCAATTCTGGGAAGCATGATTCAGGCCGATGACGAGTTTTGGTTCAGTACGCGTCAGCACGTGCTTTTTACCGGTATCCATGGTTTGGCGGGTTTTGCCATGGGCCGCTGTGTTGAACTGCATCTATGGGGACTCGGAAGACTTTGATGTTCCTTTTGCGCAAGCCGCCATCTTCACTGCCGAGCTTCCAGACGTGCGCAGTTGTGATGGAGGGCCCGGCGGTAGCTGTAAGAATCCGTTTGCAGCCATGACTGCCTGGCGATATGCTAGCAACAACTTGCGTCTTGCCGTTGACCATCTGCCAGAGTCTGAGAAGCTCATGCACAAGAGCACCATAGCCCTCATTGCACAGATTTGTGCCGAGATCGAGTCCTTCTTCAAAGAGCCTACAGCTGAGACCATGGGTGTTGCTGTGGGAAATTCTCGTCAAATCTTCGATGCATTGAAAGACTGGATGTTACACTCAGCGGCAACACGCATGCAACTGGACAGTCAAACCGTAGGCCTGCCTTTCCTGTACGGTGGCAGCTCCCTGCGGCTTCCAGCGCATCCCTATGCTCAGCCTGCAGATGCGGAGGTCCGCCTGGCTAACGGAGTGGAGATGCCAGTTCTGGGTTTTGGAACGTGGCAGCTGCTCGGTCAGCAGTGTTTCCAAGCCACTCTACATGCGCTCAAGATTGGCTATAGGCATGTGGACACCGCGCAAGCTTACGGCAACGAGGCCGAAGTTGGACGAGCGGTAGCTGCAGCCGGTCTTCCGAGGCATCAGCTTTTCCTGGTGTCAAAGCTCAGCAACCCGGAGGAGTACACCAATCTAATGGCTCGCTTCGAAGCTCAACTTCGCGAGCTGCGAACTGATTATTTGGACTTGTACATGCTTCATTCTCCTGGGCCTTCACTGGAGTCCACGCGCACTGCATGGCAGATCCGGCTCGTCTTCGGAAATCATGTTGTTGTCTTTTGAAATTTTGTCGCCTTGATTTCTGTTAAAAAGAGGTTGTCGAGACGTGGAGAGAAGGCCTAAGCCTGTCAAATCTTCGATATTTGTCCGTCTTTGGGTTTTCAATGGGAGCCACAGGCAAGCGATGGAGCAGCTGTACCGCGAGGGGCGGATTAGGGCCCTTGGTGTATCCAACTTTGGCAGGGACGAGTTGGAGAATTTATTGAAGTTCGCGGTCGTGCCGCCGGTTTACGTGCAAAACAAGTTTTCGATATACACGCCTGGTGAACAGAGAGTCAATCATGACGTCTCTATCATGAGCTACCTGAAAGAGAAGAACATTGCGTCTTAGCTCACATTGAGTCTGGGGCTATCATGAGCTGAGCGTCCCAGGGGCCTTAATTTCCAAGTCTCTTCATCTGTCGTTGTGGCAGGTGATGATGGGCTACTCTGTGATCAATCCTTGGCCAGGAATCATTCCACCGTTGCAAGATCCTCACGTCACAGCTATGGCTGCGAGAAAGCAGAGAACGCCTTCACAGGCCTGTGGATGCCGTTTCAAATCATAATCAGATTCAAGTCACAACTGGATTTTAGCAAACTTGAGGGGACACTCCGTGAAGGTCCTTCATCGCTGGGTGCTGCAGCTTGGTGCGGGCGTCATCCCAAAGTCTTCAAGTGAGGGCAGAATCGCAGCTCGGACAATGCGCAGCTCCAAAAGCACCCTGTGTCCATGTGTTTATTGCAAATATTTGCAAATGTTGATTATCATTGTTCATCATTGTTCATCTCGTGCAACTACTCACAAGCTGAGGAAGAGAACGCGCGGCTTTTCGATTTCAGTCTCAGCGATGGAGAGATGCGGCTCCTCAGCGGGATTGTCACGCTGGTCGAAAGCACTGTCTCAAGCACAGCACCGAAGTGGATTGACGACACTTGGAATATTTCAAGCCTTCACGTGCTGCATCAGGTTTGAAGTCAAACCACCGAACCGCCTGTCTCACCGAAGGACTCCTTTCATCTTGGAGCGGGAGCATGATGGACACACTGGGCTCTGCATTTCTGGACCTGTTGCCCAGCATGTTGGTGCTGAGCATTCTGGAGCGACGAGGAAAGTACAAGAAGGACGAGGACAAAAACGATGATTTGTTGGCGCCAATGGCCAGGGGACTTGCAGGAGACGATCGGAGCGAGGTGCGAAGAAGCTTGAAAAGGACGCCTTCATCGGTGGGAGCTAATTTGTAGCATTCGCTCTGCTATGCTGCGAGAACTTGCAGCAGCGAATCCATGTGAGCTTGCGCAATAGCTTCTAAGGCAGATGATGTTCGTGTCGCAAAGTCGTCACCGCAGCGTCCGTGCCCTCAGCAACAACTGACACTCGTCTTGATAGGATGCGAATGCGTGTAGGCTTTTGGGCAATACAAGGTGTCTCCCGTCGTCTTTGGAACGGGGCCCCGTGCAACCCTGCAGAGGCGGGCATCAGCGGCACTTGTCCAAAAAAAGGTTTGCAACGTTTTGCATGCAATGTTTGCAGGAGTTGCACACCACCACCTGCACCTGTGTGCAAGCCTCGATGAGGGTACTGGCAACGCAGGGGAGCTGCAGCAGAAGCTTGGGCGGTTCACGCATTGTGCCTGAGGCCTTCCTTCCCGTACATATATGCCAAGGCAAGTGTCAGCAAGATCTGGACAAGCTCCATCATGCACCAAGCCTTGATGCGTTGTAATTGTGTTGCTGCCATGCTAGGCCTGGCAATGCTGGCCTTGAGCACCTCATGCCATAGCTTTCAATCGCGTAGTGCGTGCCCTTCGCAGGATATGCATGCGGCCGCATGCGACATCATGTTAATGTAAGTAGGTCAGTAAGCTTTTCCCCAGCTACTTGGTCGCAGAGCTAAGTGTTAAGAAAGTGTGGTTTTCATGCTTATGCATCTGTGACCTTGTGGTGAACGGATGGCAGAGCTGGCAGCAGCAATGCTCCTGAGAAGTGGAGTTCAGATCTTATCAAGTTCCAGTGCAAATGTTTTCCATGTCCTGGGTTTTGGGAGTGCTTCACGCTGCTGCAGTATCTCAGCGCCACGTACCATATGCTTGGGCAACTTCGTTGCTTTCCTGTCATGCCAGAGGCACGCATGGAATCGAATAAATGTCGCGTGTGCTGTTCACTCGACGTCCAGAAATTCGAAAAACGCAGTCGTGCCGACCCGGCGCAAAAGAAAAGCAACCACTGCGTCCTGCAAGAAGCCAGTCTTCGCAGAAGCTGTGTCTATCCCCCTGCAGTTACCTGGTAAGTGCTGCAGCCATGGCAGTCGCAACCTGCATTTGCGCCCGGGCCTAAGATCATTCCGGAAAGCAGGCTGTTGCAGCATGTCTTGGGCGGAAGCTGTTTGATGCATCTCATGCTTAGATGCTCTGCATTCTCATTCTCCTTTTCGTGCGGCACAACATCAAGAATGAAGCTGCGGACTGAGAAGTGCGACATAGACCTCTGCATGTTCGGCAACGCAGCAGCTGTGTAATGCCGGAGGTGCATCATCACATCATCAGCTTCCAGATCTGCATTGCAGCTTATGTTGAGATTGCCAATGCCTTGCTGGATGTGTTTCCGGCTTACAATCGGCAAAACCTTTGGCATTCGATTTCAAGCAGCAGCACATGCGACGTATGACGACGTGTGTATTGCGAAGATTTGCGAAGGCTTGCAAGAACCTTGACGGATCAAGAGAATCATCGGACACAAACAGAATATGAAACAGCTCTCCTTTGCAAGGCTGGGACTAGACAAGAAGCGTTTTTTCCGAAAACTCTCTCTGCTCACTTTTCAAGAGGGGATGGTGCTCAAGTTCGTGAACTCCTTCTTCGCCCTCTATTACGTGGCCTTCTTCAAGGAGCCGGGACGCTCAGGAAAGAATGAGGTGAGATCAGAAGCACTACATTCTCTCGGTTGCCTTTTTGTAGTGATTGTAGTGGACTTCTTTCTGGCTTTACGCGCAACAAGAGCACATCCCTTCCTCGAGGCATCAGACGCTTTTCAGTGAGCCCATGGAGTGCCTCAGCTGGTGCCTTACTGCCTTACTCTTGTAGCATGGCACGGTCCCCCGAGTTAGTGCTTCAATGCACATCATGCGCACCTTTTGCCAACGAGTTGCAAAACGACCGTGTGATGAGCACATCTTGAAACGGTTCACTCCTCTTCGAAGGTCTCTGAGCATGTTGTAGGAATGTAGGGCTAACAACTACTGGCTCTGTTGGATGCTCGGGTCAGTGCTGACACAGATGCCAAGTACCGGCACTCAAAGATGGTTAAATGGTCTTGCATCTTTTGGCAGCTGTGAGGGTATTTCGATGTATCAGACGGCAAGATGTGCCACTTTCAATTGAAACACTTGTGTGTCCAGAAGACTCCAGAGTACACGCACATTGCGAGCCCGCCTGCCGCTACCCGCTTTGCCTCAGGAGACCAGTGCTTCCTGGACATCCAAGCACAGCTGGGGTGCGCCCCCATGTGACAGTGTGAGTTGACCATTGCTCAGCGGGGCTCGACATGTCAAATGCTGTGCCGCAGAATCTTCGTGCTCTTCCGACTCTTAGTTTCCAACGTGTCTTGATCTCAGACTTGGACGTTGAAGCTCGCAAGATTTGTCAAGGCTTGCTGCCTGAAAAAGCTCTCCAAGTGCTGGTTGCATGTGAGATGCTGTATGTCTGATCCAAGCGTCGCCCAGGGTTGAGCACTACTATCCAAAAGTTCGCCTTTGGCTTCGGAGTTTGTGCTCCCCCCCCCCGCTGGTGGACAGATCGCTTCCACGTGCTGCTTCACCTTTCATGCTCAAAGTTGCATTCAAGCCAGGATGCTCAGTGCGATGAAAGCCTTGGCTCAAGGTAAGCTCACCACGACAGCCAACTGCTTCATCGACATTTTGATCGTGCAAAATCTCACCTGTAGCCTGAATGGCCCTATAAATCCGAGCCCTACGAGTGCCCTACGTGAAGTGGAGATGCAGCAGCAGGGCCAGCCATGTTCTGAGAAAACTGCAGCAGTCCAGAGATCTGATCTCTCAGGCCGAAACTCGGTGATCATGCAAAACCTTGCTGTCCTAGTCTTGGTACTCGGACTGTGCTCTTTTGCAAGGCAAGGACCAGACCTTGGAAGCGGAGAAGCGCTCATCAGAGCAGCTGCAGCCGCAAGGAGATGATCGCAGTTTTGCGTCAAAACGGACGGAATTTGAGCTTCACACCCCTTAGTAGCAGCCACTGCAAAGACACGCAAAGAATCTTCGTTTTTTGAGGAGGCCAGAAGCGTCGGGCTGAAGGGGATCTTGATGACCAGACACGAAGGGCGGAGTTCACGGTGGTAGAGACCATCGCGACGCTTGGCGAAGTTCTGATGCAAAGTTCCGTGCGCGATGCCATGGTTCAACTGCAGTCTGCTCCTCTTGGCATGAAACCCTCCTCTAATAAGCTGCAACGATCTGACAAGCAGTACACAAGTCAGGTGGGATGATTGGTGAACGCGCTGAAGCTGTATGCAGAACCAGATGTTGGCCCGAATCTGCTGAGCTACGGCTTCTTCGGACCACAAGCAGTCACAAGCAGTGAGCACTGAGCCCGCCAAAGGATGCGCTCCTCGAAACGTCTGCAGGTCTTCCGAACCTGTGAGATTTGGAAGACTTTGGAAGCGGTGCCGCGCGGGATGCCATAAGTTTGAAAAGTCCGCTCTGATGTTTCATGCTTGCATAATTTGCATCCCTGATCTGCGTCTCCGGCCGCTTACGTCCCTTACGCCCCTTACGCAGGTCTTCGCATGACAAGATCACCTTCCAGACGTTGTACCACGGTCCCCTGGCACTGAGAGATGTCTGTACTGAAGCGCAGAGCCGTCGCAGAGCGCTCCAGCGCTCCCCCGCCTTCCTCTCGCTCACTCTCTCTTCTCTTTTTGTTCTCTCTCCGCCTTCACTTCACGCCCCCGCTTCCAGTTCACTTTCTGTAGGCCATGCCCTGGAGTTGGCGGAGATGTCGGCGACAGAGCAGCAGGCCAAGAAGGCAGCGTGCTGAGAGCTCCGTGATGCTCCGTGACCACATCGAGCCTCTTTGCAAGCAACGTCCGGCAGGAGAGTCACCGCAACTTCGATCAGTTTGACGAGATGCTCCTGACGTCAGGAACTTATACTGCAAGGTCCCACAAGGTTCCATTCCATGATGCACATCGATGCACTGAGCATGCGCAGAAGTTCCGACACGCGAGGCATGGCTATGCCACACTCTTTGCAGTCACATCCCCTTGGGTATGCACTGCAGCCCGCTTCCATGTTTGATGCAGCCCATCCGTGGTACCCATTGTTTGAAGGACGTAGTTGGATTTGCATGAGTCTGCGTGCTGGACACGAGACATGGCATGACAGACACTGTTGGCCGTCCTGGTGGAGATCTGGGTTGACATGAGAAGTCCGGATCCAGGATGCTGAGCATTGAGTTGTTGTTAGCCCCAAGCAATCTAAACCGTCTATCCGCAGTCAGTCGAGGCGTGATGCTTTTCTGAGTGCACTCTGTGCGTGAAGATTTCAGAGTACAAAACGTGGTATTTCCAAGGTCTCCTGGACAACAGGCAGCGCCCCTTCCCAACGCAGGCGCGCAACAACGAGAGCTGGCCTCAGCAGAGCCTGATGGATTCTTTCCACGCGCGATGCTTCCTGGACTGAGGCCTTGGGGTACCGCCTTTGAAATCTACGGCGCGTCAGTGTGTGTTGATCCACGTAGCACACCATTCACGCTCACACTAACCTTGTTCTGACAGGCGTGATGGCAGCACTGACAAACGTGTTGTTGCTCATCTTCACGTCCTCGCAGTACTCCAGCTGGACCATCACTGAGAAGGCCGGGCCTCGACATTTTGCCTTCTTTGTCCTGCACGCTGAGAGCGTGCGCAGTCATCATTGATTGCCACTTTCCAGATCGTCTTCTTTGCCTTCCTGGAGCACTTGATCTTTGGCGCACGGTCCGTTCCACAGCTAGTCTCTCCACGACTTGTAATTGGTATGCATGTGTGCAAGCACCAAGCCTCCTCTACTTTGATGCATGTAAGGGGGCCCAGAACCTTGTAAAGCGATAGTAACACCAAACGATCCCCTCGAGTTGAGGGAGCATTCTGCGGTGACACTTCGATTAAACAGCAAAGTGACATCTTCATGCATAAAGCAACGGTATCAGGTGCAAAAAACGTTTTCAAGCGAAGTGCAACACGACGCTGCGCTCAGTAGCCCAAAAAAGTGCAGCCGTTCAGCCCTTCATGTGTGGTCTTGTTTAGGGTGCATGCCATGCTTGTAATCCATGTTTTTGTGGCTGTTCCTGTTGCTGCGTGGCCTTAGGTTGTTCGTTCAGATCATCTTCCCTCAGGCTCTGGATGATCCGTATGAAGTCCTTAGTCCGTTCATGCTTCTGCTCGAGGTGCCGCAGGCCGTGGAGGTTCTGTCTCTCAAACAAGACAGTGTGGTCCACCGATGCTTGGAGGGCATCAAGGCCAGGCAACTAAGTCTAAGTGACTAGGATTCTGATGTCATGTCCCTGCCCCAAGGTGGAAAGCAACACGGACTTCAGTCTCTTTAGGGAAAGCCGTGTACAGGAGGACGTGCAGGCTCGCACTCGCTTGCTGCCTGTCTGGGTATCAATTTCAAGTTTGGTTCGGCTGCAGAAAGCATCGCAAGCATGACCGTTGCACCCCAGCCAGACCTCTTCCATCTGCGTGCAGATGTTCTGAAACAGGTATTCGGATATGACCTCCTCGAAACAGATGAGGCATCGAATGCACGTGGCAGTGACTCTGTGACTGCTACGTTGCTGCGCGGAGCATTGCAGGCTGACCTGACCTTGTCTTTGCGAGACAGTGGCAAGTCCATGTGGCCGTCTTAATCTGAAGAGCCGGGCTTGAGCTCTCCTTTGGTAGAGCCTGATGAGTCCATGCTCCAACTCAGTGCCAACTCTCAGACTCTCAGGTACCAGGGAGTGATTGACGAGGTTGGCACTCTGCGAGTCAACATCGGCATGCCAGTGAGCAAGTGAGGCCTAAATGAGAGGGTGTGTTGGCAACGTAGCTGCTTGGTCCAACATGGTTGTAGGCGCTCATGATCAGCGTCCCCCTACTGCGTAGACCCGCACGGAACTATGGTGATAACAGAGGGCTAGTAGGGATATCCAGTAGGGCCTTCGTAGGGAGGTTCTACTCACAGTTTCACTTTGACAAGCGGGCAAGTGCACCTTGAGGAGATGTGTTTCAACTGCGGTGAGCCATGACCGCACGGGTTAGTTGGAGTACATTTTTCTTCATTCATTGCTCGTGCTTCGCACTGTTGCGCTTGACATTGCCGCAGGCAACATGCCGCGCTGTATGCACTTTTCCTTTTCCTTCCGACTGCTCTCGCAACGGTTGCAGCTGACATGCTCAACAAGTCTAGTTCGTTCCCTAAACAACTTCCACAAGATGTTCGCACAAGGCAAGTGCCCGCTGCGAGAAGTTGGACGTTAATCAGGACAATCTTGAACAGTGGTTGAGCTTGCGAGAATCAATCTGCACCTGCATCTCTACATGTAGACTCGTAGTCGTAGACTGCCTGCGTGCAGCTACTTAGTCACTTAGTCTTGTCGTAACTTATCCATAGGCGATAAGGGCAGCTCCAACAAATCTATTCTCGCTGGAGTGGCAGCTCTTCCGAATGCGCAGGCAACCACATATGTTGCTTGACGAAGCTGTCGCATCTAAAGAGATGCGCAGTGGTAGAGGTGCAGCTATGCTAAATCTTTGTATCGCCTCGATATCGTGCAACTATGGGTACACAACGTCTCGAGTTGTTTGTAATTACACGTCTGCATAAGCCACCAGACGTTCTGACATGTCCACAGCGTTTGAAGTCACTTACATGACATATGCCATGACTGTGCCCTGCAGCTGCAAGCGGCGGCTCAAGCAGAAGCGAGTTCTGCTGCGAGAATGTCAGGCCAAGCAGTTGTGCAGCTAGCCCCCGCCTTTGTCGGGGAGCAAGCGGTGTACGGGCCCGACTATAGGGGCGGCCTCGCACCCCCGCCCGAATGGTGGGCCAAGATAGCCCACCCCATGGCGCCGTGGCCACCTGGACCCCTCCAATGCCCCCCACCTCAATACCCACCGCAATACCCACCTCAATACCCACCTCAATACCCACCTCAATACCCGCCTCAATACCCACCTGCACACTTGCTGCAGTTCCAGTGCTACTGGCAACCACCACCGCCACCACAGCAAGTCATCCAGCAACTTCCAATGCAGGCCCAGTTCTGCTGGCCACAACCACCGCACCAGTTCTCCCCCCTGAACTGCTATGCAGTCCCACCTGGTCTCAGTTACCAGCCAATTCCGGTGTGGCAACCTCCACCTTTAACCCACTTCCAAATCCCATCCTACCATGCAGCACCAGCCCCAACACCTTCGCCTGCAGCCTTTGTCAATCCCCCTCCGCCTCCGGCAGCAGCCCCACAGCTGCCTGGAACCATCGACGCCCGAGAGACCTTGGTGCCAAGCGGACCTCCAAGGCCGTCCTGGGCTGATATTTCGGAGGAGGTTCCCCGTAGCCCATGCCAGCCAGAGCCAGAGGAGGCAGCCGCTTCCTCGGCCCCGAGTCTCCCAAGTCTCTTGGTGAACCGTTCAGCCCAGCAACAAAAGAAGTCCAGCAAGTCCCGAAAATGTGGCTCGAGGCCAGGGGAACTGCAGCTTTCAAATACTTCCCATCAAGAGATATGCGACTTGGATGTCGGTGGCCAGGTGATCGCAGAGATGATGCGCAAAGAGGATGCGCAAAGATGATTTTGCGCCAAGATGATGGCGTGCCTGAGCTGCAACTGATCCTGTGAAGTTTTTGAAGCAGATGTGCGAAGTTCTTGAGCGTCCTTGATGCAGAGAGGTGGCAGTCACCAGACCGCTTTCGAAAACCGCAGCCGTATGAGATGAGACGTGGGCAAAGCTTCCCGCTAAGTGATGCCAACGGCGCCGCAGTGTCACCAGCCAGCCTTCCTTAAAGGAACGCGGCTACCATCTGCTAGCGCTTCAAGCAGCAAGCCCACCATGATGCCCTGCCCCAGAGACCCCTTAAAGAAGTCGCCTGCACCATGACCGTGCTCTTGAATGTCACAAGGCGTAGGATAAGATTGTCTGGGCTTCGGCGAGCTTGAGTGTTCAAAGTTTCCATGTAGGTTGTAGCTGTCGGCCTAGGAAGCATCGCGTGCTCGACCGAGCAGGCGCAATAGCGCCTCATGCTTCTGACAGAAATTGTGCAATGAGGGTGTGTGTTGATTTTGGAATCCTCTTTGCGATTTACAAGAGGCTTCCATGTGGATTCAGCTTTTGGGGTAGGCACTAGCATGGCAATAGTGGCAATCTATATAATCTACATGGCCAGATGTTTTCTGCTTTTGCGATGACAACATGCCATGCCCCAAAGTCATACATTGGTACACCATGATACAGCGTTCTATGTGAATTGGCAATCCCCAGAGACACATGACACGACCCAAAGCTTGGAACGACAAGTGGAGCAGGCGAGGTCCTCCCAGTTTTGCGCCCCTGTACTCATTACGTGCCTCGCATTGCGCCTGAACCCATCATTGCCAAAGGCAGAGCAGCGACATGTCCATGACTCGCGCCGCTGCATGCCACAGCACGGGCGGCTCAAGCAGAAGCGGGTTCTGCTGCGAGAATGTCAGGCCAAGCAGTTGTGCAGCTAGCCCCCGCCTTTGTCGGGGAGCAAGCGGTGTACGGGCCCGACTATAGGGGCGGCCTCGCACCCCCGCCCGAATGGTGGGCCAAGATAGCCCACCCCATGGCGCCGTGGCCACCTGGACCCCTCCAATGCCCCCCACCTCAGTACCCGCCGCAATACCCACCTCAATACCCACCTCAATACCCACCTCAATACCCGCCTCAATACCCACCTGCACACTTGCTGCAGTTCCAGTGCTACTGGCAACCACCACCGCCACCACAGCAAGTCATCCAGCAACTTCCAATGCAGGCCCAGTTCTGCTGGCCACAACCACCGCACCAGTTCTCCCCCCTGAACTGCTATGCAGTCACACCTGGTCTCAGTTACCAGCCAATTCCGGTGTGGCAACCTCCACCGTTAACCCATCCCATCCCACCATGCAGCACCAGCCCCAACACCTTCGCCTGCAGCCTTTGTCAATCCCCCTCCGCCTCCGGCAGCAGCCCCACAGCTGCCTGGAACCATCGACGCCCGAGAGACCTTGGTGCCAAGCGGACCTCCAAGGCCGTCCTGGGCTGATATTTCGGAGGAGGTTCCCCGTAGCCCATGCCAGCCAGAGCCAGAGGAGGCAGCCGCTTCCTCGGCCCCGAGTCTCCCAAGTCTCTTGGTGAACCGTTCAGCCAAGCAACAAAAGAAGTCCAGCAAGTCCCGAAAATGTGGCTCGAGGCCAGGGGAACTGCAGCTTTCAAATACTTCCCATCAAGAGATATGCGACTTGCATGTCGGTGGCCAGGTGATCGCAGAGATGGTGCGCAAAGAGGATGCGCAAAGATGATTTTGCGCAAAGATGATGGCGTGCCTGAGCTGCAACTGATCCCGTGAAGTCTTTGAAGCAGATGTGCGAAGTTCTTGAGCGTCCTTGATGCAGAGAGGTGGCAGTCACCAAACCGCTTTCGAAAGCCGCAGCCGTGGCTGCCAAAGAGAATGAGATGAGACGTGGGCAAAGCTTCCCGCTAAGTGATGCCAACGGCGCCACAGTGTCACCAGCCAAGCCTTCCTTAAAGGAACGCGGCTACCATCTGCTAGCGCTTCAAGCAAGCCCACCATGATGCTCCGCCCTAGACCCCTTAAAGAGGTCGCCTGCACCATGACCGTGCTCTTGAATGTCACAAGGCGTAGGATAAGATTGTCTGGGCTTCGGCGAGCTTGAGTGTTCAAAGTTTCCATGTAGGTTGTAGCTGTCGGCCTAGGAAGCATCGCGTGCTCGACCGAGCAGGCGCAATAGCGCCTCATGCTTCTGACAGAAATTGTGCAATGAGGGTGTGTGTTGATTTTGGAATCCTCTTTGCGATTTACAAGAGGCTTCCATGTGGATTCAGCTTTTGGGGTAGGCACTAGCATGGCAATAGTGGCAATCTATATAATCTATATGGCCAGATGTTTTCTGCTTTTGCGATGACAACATGCCATGCCCCAAAGTCATACATTGGTACACCATGATACAGCGTTCTATGTGAATTGGCAATCCCCAGAGACACATGACACGACCCAAAGCTTGGAACGACAAGTGGAGCAGGCGAGGTCCTCCCAGTATAGCGCCCCTGTACTCATTACGTGCCTCGCATTGCGCCTGAACCCATCATTGCCAAAGGCAGAGCAGCGACATGTCCATGACTCGCGCCGCTGCATGCCACAGCACGGGCGGCTCAAGCGGAAGCGAGTTCTGCTGCGAGAATGTCAGGCCAAGCAGTTGTGCAGCTAGCCCCCGCCTTTGTCGGGGAGCAAGCGGTGTACGGGCCCGACTATAGGGGCGGCCTCGCACCCCCGCCCGAATGGTGGGCCAAGATAGCCCACCCCATGGCGCCGTGGCCACCTGGACCCCTCCAATGCCCCCCACCTCAGTACCCACCGCAATACCCGCCTCAATACCCACCTCAATACCTACCTCAATACCCGCCTCAATACCCACCTGCACACTTGCTGCAGTTCCAGTGCTATTGGCAACCACCACCACAGCAAGTCATCCAGCAACTTCCAATGCAGGCCCAGTTCTGCTGGCCACAACCACCGCACCAGTTCTCCCCCCTGAACTGCTATGCAGTCACACCTGGTCTCAGTTACCAGCCAATTCCGGTGTGGCAACCTCCACCTTTAACCCACTTCCAAATCCCATCCTACCATGCAGCACCAGCCCCAACACCTTCGCCTGCAGCCTTTGTCAATCCCCCTCCGCCTCCGGCAGCAGCCCCACAGCTGCCTGGAACCATCGACGCCCGAGAGACCTTGGTGCCAAGCGGACCTCCAAGGCCGTCCTGGGCTGATATTTCGGAGGAGGTTCCCCGTAGCCCATGCCAGCCAGAGCCAGAGGAGGCATCCGCTTCCTCGGCCCCGAGTCTCCCAAGTCTCTTGGTGAACCGTTCAGCCCAGCAACAAAAGAAGTCCAGCAAGTCCCGAAAATGTGGCTCGAGGCCAGGGGAACTGCAGCTTTCAAATACTTCCCATCAAGAGATATGCGACTTGGATGTCGGTGGCCAGGTGATCGCAGAGATGATGCGCAAAGAGGATGCGCAAAGATGATTTTGCGCCAAGATGATGGCGTGCCTGAGCTGCAACTGATCCCGTGAAGTTTTTGAAGCAGATGTGCGAAGTTCTTGAGCGTCCTTGATGCAGAGAGGTGGCAGTCACCAAACCGCTTTCGAAAGCCGCAGCCGTGGCTGCCAAAGAGAATGAGATGAGACGTGGGCAAAGCTTCCCGCTAAGTGATGCCAACGGCGCCACAGTGTCACCAGCCAAGCCTTCCTTAAAGGAACGCGGCTACCATCTGCTAGCGCTTCAAGCAGCAAGCCCACCATGATGCTCCGCCCTAGACCCCTTAAAGAAGTCGCCTGCACCATGACCGTGCTCTTGAATGTCACAAGGCGTAGGATAAGATTGTCTGGGCTTCGGCGAGCTTGAGTGTTCAAAGTTTCCATGTAGGTTGTAGCTGCATTGTAGCTGTCGGCCTAGGAAGCATCGCGTGCTCGACCGAGCAGGCACAATAGCGCCTCATTCTTCTGACAGAAATTGTGCAATGAGGGCGTGTGTTTTTTCAGGGTCTCAGGCCAGTCAGTTGCCTGTGCATAGCGAAATCTATATTATCGATCTCGCCAGAAGCCTTTTGTCTGATACTGCAGCTCCCGATCTCAGCATTTGCGCTATCTGGGTTTCCAGAACTTCGGCTCCCTTCCCATTTGTCCCTCGAACGCCCTCAACGATCTCCAAGAAAAGAAGCCTTGATTTTGGAATCCTCTTGCGTTTTACAGGCCGCTTCCATGTGGATTCAGCTTTTGGGGTAGGCGCTAGCATGGCAACCTATATAATTACGCCCAGGGGCGGGCAGCGCCCCCAGGAGTAGCAGGCAGAGGCATGGCAGCTCCCAAAGCAAAACCCCTCCCCCCCTCCCCCCGCGAGCCGCTGATGCTGCCGATGCTCACCTTCCGGATCCCCAAAAGGAGAAACGAAGCCTCGATGATGCGCACCCCTGGCCCCCGCCCGGCCGCGCATCATGAGCATCAGCGGCTCCGGCCTCCAGGCATGCGTGGCTTATGGGGGCATATGCCGGCCTCAAAACGGACTGTCCGTAACAGCACGAAAACCACGGTATTTACAGCGTTTTCTGCGTTTTCCAAGCTCGCAGCCGCATCCAAAACCCAAGACCCAACCCGCTGATGCTCATGATGCGCGCTCTTGTGGGGGTCCTTTGGGGTGGCCGATGCCCCCAAAAAACATCAACAACGCGTCTTCGGCAGAAGTTAAAAAATAGAGTCGATGATGCTCTCCGGGGTCGTTTTTGGGACCCCCAGCGATGAACCCAAAAAATGCGCCCAGGAGCCAAATTTCGTTGGGGAATAGCGCGTTTTTGGCGATAAAAACTGTACCTGAAACATGAAGCCCTTCGGAAGGCATTTGGAGCCGGATGTCGGCGAGCCAACCGGGTCGGCGGCACTGCGTGCTGAGCCACCTAACCCCTCGAGGCGTATGGTGTGGAGGCCACCAGCTACGCTCGAAGCCAGTACATGTAATTATGGTGGTGAGGGCGGAAGGGCAGGGGGAGCAGGGGAAGCAT